CTCTGCCACATTTCCTCACATTCGCACACACATCTGCCCACTCTAGCCTCATCTCTTCCCATCTCAACTCCTCGGATCCCCAATCCCGCTCCGCATCCCGCCTCCTGCAGTGGAGTGGGCTACAACTACCTCACTGGAAGCTTCCCAGCGTCGCCCACTCTGAAAACCCTGGACGTGCGCGGAAACTTCTTCTACACCATGGGAAGCATGACTCTCAGCTGGTGCGACGGCCACACCAACTGCTTCACCACTCCCTCTGTCTGCGGCATGGGAGGCACCACGCAGCGCCCCGCAGCAGACTGTGCCATCTGCGGCTCATCCAACGCGCAGCCGCCCTTCTGTGGCGGCACCGGCACGTGCGCACCTGACTCTGCGGCTGCGGCCGCGCTGGGCACGCCTAATGTTATGGGCTCGGCCACGCTGCCCATGGTGTGCAGTGGTGTCCCCATCGACGCTGATGATGGTGAGCGCATTTAAAAAGCAGGCGTCCACATGCCAACAGGCACCCGTGCGTCCACAGGCACCTGCACACCTACAGCCACCCGTGCATCCACAGCTAACCATGCACAGGCACTTGCCTCTCGCATGCACACTTCGGCCCTGTTAGCCTCTGATCACCCGCTCTCATGTATTTTTAACCTCATGCCCGTGTCAACGTTTAAAACCTGCCTCCCCCCTTCCCCACCCGTCAGCCCTTTTTGCCCCACCAGCTACGGTGCTGCTGGCGCTCAAGTCGTCGCTGGGCGTGACGATGTGAATCCCTAGACTCAGTTCTTCCCCCTTCCGTATCCCTCTCCCCCCCTCCCCCACCAGCTACGGTGCTGCTGGCGCTCAAGTCGTCGCTGGGCGTGACGATGTGAATCCCTAGACTCAGTTCTCCCCCCTTCCGTATCCCTCTCCCCCCCTCCCCCACCAGCTACGGTGCTGCTTGCGCTCAAGTCATCGCTGGGCGTGACGATGTGAATCCCTAGACTCAGTTCTTCCCCCTTCCGTATCCCTCTCCCCCCCTCCCCCACCAGCTACGGTACTGCTGGCGCTCAAGTCGTCGCTGGGCGTGACGCTGAGCAACTGGAATGCGGCAGCGCTGTGCACGCTGGAGGGGCAGACGCTCCTGCCCGCGCAGTGGGGCGGCGTGCGCTGCACCGCTGCCGGCAAAGTCACGAGCGTGTGAGTGCGGGGATGGCTGGTGAGGGGCGCAGGAGCATGCGAGTGCGGGGATGAGTTTTGATACATCTCAAAAGCCCTCACAGTGGGCCGGCATGCGCTGCACGCCTGCGGGTAAAGTCAGGAGCATGTGAGTGGGAGGAGGGAAGGCAAGGGGCGGAAAAGAGCGGGTGGGTGCGTTATGCAAGAGGGAGACGGAGCACGTGTGATGTGGGTGCTGTGCTGTGCTGGTGCTGGTGCTGCTCTTGCCACTCCCCCATTGTTTGCCTCTCTCATTCATCCCTCGGCTCTCACTCTGGTCCCTTCCCCTCATTGCCACGCAGTGTGGTGGTGATGCCTTTGTTCCCACTCCTTTGCCTCTCTCATTCCTCCCCTGCCTCTCACCCTTGGCTCCTCCCCCTCGTTGCCACGCAGTGCGCTCACACGGCAGAAGCTGCAGGGCGTCATTCATCCCGACATCTCCAAGCTCACCACGCTCACTTACCTGTAAGCCCAGCGCACTCACGTGCCATCTGCGCACATCAGAAGAGGATAGTGACAGGGCGACTGGGAGGTGTTTTGAGTCGACTCAAAACACGTCCCATGTGCGCACGTGAGAAGAGGATAGTGACAGGGCGACTGGGAGTTGGGATGCACGGTGCACAGCATGGCAGCTTTCCTTGTCGGTGGGTGGGCTGTGTCCATATGTAAAGCGGGTCCCCATCCACACTGCTCTCTCTTTCCCCTCTTCCCCCTCTCCTCCCACCCCCTCCTCTCCTCCCCTCCCCCTCCCTACTGCAGTGACCTGGGCTACAACCTCTTCCAGAGCCGTCTCGACTTCTTTGCCGCACCGCTCAAGCCCCTCACGTCGCTCAAGGCGCTGTAAGCCCCTCACGTCGCTCAAGGCGCTGTAAGCCCCTCACGTCGCCCAAGGCGCTGTAAGGCCGCCCGGCGCCCCCTTCCACCATGTCCACATGCTTCCTTTACTCCCCTCTTACGACCCATGGCGCTGCATGCATTCTGCTGGATGCTCTAAGACCGCGTGAAGCGAGAGTAATTTTGAGACGTCTCAAAAATACTCTCGCTTCACGTGCTTCCTTTACTCCCCTCTCATGGCCCATGGCGCTGCATGCATTCTGCTGGATGCTCTAAGTCCGCCCCTTCTCCTCTGTGGACTCGTGATGGTGCCCGGTGCGTGCTGTGCCCTGCTGCTCCCGCCTGGCACATGCTACGGAGTTTGAGGCGCCCCAAAATCAGACCCCTGCTGCTCCAGCCTTGCACATGCTACTGCAGCTAGCCTGCATGATTTGTCTGTCCTGTGTCACTCCTCTCGTATCCCATCCCACTTATTCTCCTCTGTCCCTTCGCTCCCATGCCCCCTCCCCTCGTCCATCACAGCTTCTTCCACTACAACTACTTCGCCGGCTCGATTCCTTCTGCCATCGCCACGCTTCCTCAACTCACCTCACTGTAAGCCAACCCAGCGGCATCACTCACAGTGACAATTCACATACCGCCCGGTCCCCGTACCTGAAAGCCCAGAGCTCCACTCACAACAACCTCCATTACTCATGCCCTGCCCCATCCGCCGTTCATCCACCACTCCCCCATCCACTCCCCCTCCCCTTCCCCTCACCACCTTCTCCGCAAATTTCTCCACTCCCGCTGCTCCCCCCCTTGCAGCGGCCTTTTCTCCAACTACCTCACGGGCACCGTGCCCATCCCCGCCAAGGCCCTGCTCGCGCTGGACGTGGGCTTTAACTTCCTCTCGGGCACCTTCCCGAAGCTGCCGCTCATGTTCTGTGCGGGCGACAACAACTGCTTCCTCAACTCCACCTCCTGCCGCACCTACGGCATCGTGCAGCGCCCTGCCGGCGCCTGCGCCATCTGCGGTACCGCGGCCGGCCAGGGTGACCTCTGCTTCGGTGGCTCCTGTGCTCCCAGCGCTGCTGCTGCCGTCACCGCCGGCACTGTCAACTCGCCTAACCAGCCAGTACTGCCCATGGCATGTGCAGGTGTGTGTGCGGTGCTGTAGTGTGCACAGTGCAAGGCATGCAGCGTCGTTTCACCTTCTCGACATTTGAGTCAACTCAAAAGACGTTCTCTGGCACATGTTTCTGCCGATCACACCTCTGCCCGTCCTCCCCACTGCTCTCATCTTCCTGATTCCTCCTGCCGTGCCTCACCGCACACACTCTCCCCCTCTCTGCCTCTTCCTGGCTCTCTTTCGTTGCAGACAATCCCGCAGCGCCAATGGATACAGGCTCAGGTGCGTCTTCTTCTCACACACGCCTTGTCACCATGCCTTCATGTGTCCTTCCTTGGTCTTCATGCGTCCTTCCTTGGTCTTCATGCGTCCTTCCTTGGTCTTCATGCGTCCTTCTTCGGCCCGCGTGCGTCCTTCCTTGGTCTTCATGCGTCCTTCTTTGGCCCGCGTGCGTCCTTCCTTGGTCTTCATGCGTCCTTCCTTGGTCTTCATGCGTCCTTCCTTGGTCTTCATGCGTCCTTCCTTGGTCTTCATGCGTCCTTCCTTGGCCCGCATGCGTCCTTCGACCCTCTGCAATCTCCTGATCTGTCTTTGAGATTCTCAATCCCGTTCCTCTGTCAAATCGCTCCCTCCGCCCGCCTCTCCCATCCTCCACAGCGCTCGCACTGCTGAACGTGAAGGCAGCGTTGGGAGTGACGTTCACCAGCTGGGCGGCTGCATCGCCCTGCGCCATTGCCAACTCCACCATCACCATTGGAGGCGCCTGGACTGGCGTGCTCTGCTCCGCTGCTGGCGACGTCCTCAGCGTGTCAGTGCCCCGTCTCCGCCTCCCCCCTCCCTGCTCCTTTCCCCCTGCTCCTGCTGGTACCTGCCACTCTTTTGTCTTTAAACTGGTGAAACTTTTTTGTTTTTTTTTTTTTGTCTGTTTGTTTGTTTGTTTGTTTGTCTTTTTTGTCTGTTTGTTTCTTTGTTTGCTTGTTTTTTTCCTCTCTGTTCCCTAATCTTCCTCATTTTCCCTCCCTCCTCTCCCTCCCCCAATTTCACTGTGTGCAGCAACCTGTCCTCCTCCGCCCTGGCTGGTAACATGCACGCCGACATCACCAAGCTCACCGCCCTCACCTATCTGTCAGTGCCCTCACCCCTAGCTCACTTCTCCTTCCACTGCCTGCCGCACGCTGCTTCTTGCCCTTGTTCCTCCTCGCCTCACTGTCTTTCTTCTCCGACTGCCCGCCTCGCATGCGAGTCCATCTGAGCCACCATCTTCCGTCTCAACGCTGCCTCTTCTCCGTCCCTGCCGTACCACCCGCTCGCCCTGCCCCGCCCTCCTCCCATGCCCTCCACCCACCCCTGTGACTTCTCCGTGCGCCCTCTCTCCCCTCCGCCCCTGCAGCGACCTGTCCAAGAACGTGCTGCCTCTAAGCTCATAGCTAGAAGGGCTCCATTGTTAGAAGAAAACGCTTAAGCAGCAGGAACAACAGTGGAAAAAACAGCAGGAAAAAAGTAGATATGAAAAACGCCTTCTCCGTGCGCCCTCTCTTCCCTCCGCCCCTGCAGCGACCTGTCCAAGAACCTGCTCCGTGCCAGCCTTGATAAATTCGTCTCCTCCTTCTCCGGTCTCAAGACGCTCCAGCAGCTGTCAGTACCGCCTCTCTCACCCACATCGCCCTGTTCTTAGCCGCGTTTCTCTCGCTCGTGTTGCTCTCGCTCGATGTGCCCTCGCGCTGCCGCACACACCATGGCCGCTCAACTCGCACACAGCCATGCCTTGCATGCTGCCACCATAGCCCTTCAGTACTTGCTGTGGGATTCATGTCTGCCTCTTGCCTTGCACCCTTCTCCCCTCCCGGTCTCCCTCCCGGTCTCCCTCCAGGCTCCTCAACAACAACTGGTTCGCGGGCTCTCTGCCTCAGACCCTCATGTCTCTTCCCGCCCTCACTCTGCTGTAAGGGTCTAAAGTACCTGTCAGTTCCAGCATTTCAACCAAGCATGTGTGCCAACTTCAGTGTGTGCCAACCACAGTGTGTGCCAACCACAGTGTGTGCCAACCACAGTGTGTGCCAACCGCAGTGTGTGCCAACCACAGTGTGTGCCAACCACAGTGTGTGCCAACCACAGTGTGTGCCAACCAGCACAGCATGGTTTCCAGCACATTCACCTGTCCTCTGCTTCTTCTCCCCATTCCACCCCGCCCTCAACACCCGCCCACGCACTCCCCTTTGGCATGGCAGGGATGTGCATGCGAATGCGCTGACGGGGTCACTGCCCGCCGTGTCATCCGTGCTGCAGGCGCTCTTCCTGCACGACAACTTCCTGGCCGGCCCCTTCACCCCCACCGCTGCCCTCACTGCGTGTGACGCCAGTCTCAACTGCTTCACCAGCGCTGCCGCCTGTGGCGCCAGCAGCACCACTCAGAGGGCCGCTGCTGCGTGTGCCATCTGCGACAGTACGGACGCCCAAGGGCTGCTGTGCTGGGGGGGCGTGTGCCTGCCTAACGTCACTTTCTCCACCGCACACCCTGACGGGCTTGCCCCGCCACCCATGTACTGCAATGGTGAGTCTCCTCCTCCCCCTTTATGCTCGTTTAGAGGCGCCTCAAAACTAGACGCCCCGCCGCCCATGTACTGCTCTGGTGCGTCTCCTCCCTCCTCCTCCCCCTTTATGCTCCCTCTCCCTGCGATTCCAGCTGGAATCTTGCTGCCCTTCACAATGGCCTTCTCTCCCTTGCTAACCCCCACGATCCCTGCTCGCTGCCTCCTGCCTGTATGCATACTCACGCCCCTCTCCTCCCGTGCCGTTGTCCCTGATTGCCTGACTCCCTATGGTTGCTCCTGATGTTCTTTGATCCGAATATCTCGGATTGTCTTTGAATGCCTCTGATCTGCATGGTGTCTGTCTGCTGCAGGGGCTCCGGTGGTCAACATGAGCTCTGTTGATGGTGAGAGCGCCTTGCCTTGCCTTGCCATGTCCCACACCGCCATGCTGCCTGCCTGCGTTTCACCTTGATGTGCCCATGCCGATGCTTTTTGAGTCAACTTTTGAGTCTACTCAAAAGCACCTTGATGCGCCCATGCCGATGCCATTCCCTGCTTGCATTCCCAACCATGTCATTCACCACGTATTCCTCATCATACGCAGCGCCACTACCCATCCACCACCACTCGCAGCATACCAAACCCCCAACCCCATGTGCCGCCCCCACCTCGTCACTCTTTCTTCACCTGCCCCCTCCCCTTTCCCCCCACCCCTCTCCCCCGTCCTTTATGCACGGCAGCGGCGGCACTGGCGGCGCTGAAGAGTGCGGTGGGGGTGACGTTCAGCACGTGGGCGGCCGCCACCTACTGCACCGTGGCGCCCACCGCCATCATCGCCGGCACGTGGACCGGCGTGCTCTGCAACTCCGCCGGCAAAGTCGTCACCCTGTCAGTCCGCCTGCCCTGCCTGTTCGTCCCCTGCCCCTGCTGTGCTCTGCCTGCCGCTTCTCTCCAAGCACTGGGTCTACCCAACTTGCGACCTGCCACTGCGTGCCAACTTTCCCTTCCTGCCCTTTCTCAGCCTTCCTTGAAGGCCTTTCTCAGCCTGCCTTGAAGGCAGTGCCAACTGCAGCCACTTTCCTCGGCTCTCCTGCCCTGCTGCTTGCTCAGGCCATGCTTATGCCACGTTTCGCCTCGCCTCTGACTCACCACTCACGTATCCACTCATCAATCCTGTGCCCATGCCTGGTGTTGCCTGTGCTGTGCCCCACCGCTGTGCCTGCTCGCCCTGCATGACCGCAGGCAACTCGCCAACAGCAACCTCACGGGCACTCTGCCACTCACTGTCTCCACCCTCACAGCGCTCACTGCCATGTGAGGCCCCTTCCCTCCCTGCCCACTACCACTTCACTCTCCTCACTGCACTCTGTAGCCCGCACTCGCTTGCCATCAACTGCTGTCTCCACCCTCACAGCACTCACTGCCATGTCAGCCCCCCTCCCCCCGCTGCCACTTCCCTTTCCTCACTGCACCTTGCAGCCCGCCCTTGCTTTCCACCAACTGCCCTAGCCACTATGAAAGCATACCCCTCTCACTCCCTGCATTCTCAGCTGTCCATTGTCTCCACCACTCTCCTCATTCTTTCTCCTCTCCCCATTCTCCTTCCTCTCTGCTCCTCTCCGCTCTGCCCCGCCCCTCATTCTCTTCCCCCCTCTCTGCCCCGCCCCTCATTCTCTTCCCCCCTCTCTGCCCCGCCCCTCATTCTCTTCCCCCCTCTCTGCCCCGCCCCTCATTCTCTTCCCCCCTCTCTGCCCCGCCCCTCATTCTCTTCCCCCCTCTCTGCCCCGCCCCTCACTCTCTCTCCTCTCCACCCCTCCCCCCAGCGACCTCACCTCCAACCTCTTCCAGGGTCGCCTGGACGAAGTTGCCACGCAGCTGCGCCTGCTCACCAACCTCAAAGCCATGTGCGTCTCCCTAACCCTGCTCTTATGGGACATCTCACAAGGAAACATTCTAGCGCTGTGTGCAGGAGGCTATGAAAATAATTTCAGCGCTCTGAGCATGTTTCGCAAGGGCGGCGTGGCGACATGTCAAGAGATTTCACCATGCGAATGTGCTCTCACTCGTTCCTTCCTTCTTGGCGACAATCCTTCTTTGCTGCGCCATTCTTCTGTATAGGTTCCTGCTCCATTGCATTTTCTCACCCACTCGTGCCTGCGCCTCTGCCTCACCCACCCACGCACCCACTCATCCCATCCCATGCTCACAGCGACCTGGCCTACAACTGGCTCTCCGGCTCGGTGCCTGCGTTCATGCTCACCCTTCCCAGCCTCACGGAGATGTAAGCGCCACTCGCCACTGCTCCCTCCACTCGCCTGCACTGTCTTCTCTTTGTTCCTCTCCTCCCAACTTCCTTCTGACCATCGCTGTGCCAGAAACTCAATTGACTTCGTATCCCCCCCCTCCGTCGAGACCAGTTTCTTTGTAATATCTCTTCTCCTCATTACTCTGACTGATCCATTCCCACTTGCACCCACACATCCCCGCCTTTCCCTCTGCTCTGCTCCGCAGCACTCTAGGCTACAACTACCTGACGGGCGCGCTGCCCCCGGTGACATCCCCGCTCGCAGTGGTGGACGTGCAGTTCAACTTCCTGGGCGGCACCTTCCCCGCGCTCACGCTCTCCCGCTGCGCCGCGCGCATGAACTGCTTCCTCGACGCCTCCAAGTGCAACTACCCCAACCGCGCCGCCGAGCTCCCGCGCGCCGCTGCTGCCTGCGCCATCTGCAACACCACCAACGCGCAGGGCCGCCTGTGCAGCGGCGGGCTGTGCACCGTCAACGCCACGGACCTCGTGGCACTCGGTGCGCCCAACAGTGCTGCATCGCCCACACTGCCGCTCATCTGCGTGGGAGCGGCGTTTGTGGCGATGGACTCGGTGCATGCAGCAGCCATGCTGAACCTCAAGGCGTCGCTGGGAGTGACCTTCACCGACTGGAAGGCCGACTCGCCCTGCTCCCTGCCTGGTGCCGTCGCCGCCGGGTCGTGGAGTGGGGTCACCTGCGACGCCACTGGCAAAGTGCTCGGCATGTGAGTGCACATGCAGACAAGTGGCAGCTGCAACGCAGCTAAAACGCAAGCAGCACGATGGGTTTTCTTGGGCCCCGATTTTATTGACAAGTCTGATGAGTCCTCTTCTCTGTGCACTCTTTTGAGTCGACTCAGATATCATCTTGGGCCCCGATTTTAATGTCAAGTCTGATGTGTTCTCTGTGCACTCTTTTGAGTCGACTCAGATGTCATCTTGGTCCCCGATTTTAATGTCAAGTCTGATGTGTTCTCTGTGCACTCTTTCTGTGGCCTTGCTTGCTTGTCTGACCTGCAGAGTCCTCAACTCGCAAATGCTGGGAGGCAGCATCCACTCAGACATCTCCAAGCTCACCACGCTCACATCACTGTCAGTCCTCACCCTCCTCCCTCCCCCTCTCGTTCTCACTCGTCTGTGATGCTATTACACTATCTTCTCGCTCGATTCTCTCTGTTGGTTGCTCCTTGCTGCTCCAGGGTGCTTCTGTCCATGCTTTTAAGCTAAGGTGCCCTTGTGCGTTGTGCCGTGTGTGCCCTTTCCCTTGCCTGCATGGCTGCATGCTGCAGTGACCTGCAGTCCAACCTGCTGCAGGGGCGGCTGGACTCCTTCACTGCCGGCATCAAGGCGCCCCTCGTGCTCAAGGAGCTGTGAGTCCCTCGTGCTCAAGGAGCTGTGAGTCCCTCGTGCTCAAGGAGCTGTGAGTCCCTCGTGCTCAAGGAGCTGTGAGTCCCTCGTGCTCAAGGAGCTGTGAGTCCCTCGTGCTCAAGGAGCTGTGAGTCCCTCGTGCTCAAGAAGCTGTGAGTTCCCGCACCCTGCCACCGCTCCATTCCATGCATGCACCCCTCGTGCTCAAGGAGCTGTGAGTCGCTGCACCCTGCCAGTTTTGAGGCGCCTCAAAACTAGACGCACCCTGCCACCGCTCCATGTACCCATGCATGCACCCCTCGTGCTCAAGGAGCTGTCAGTCGCCAATGCCCGCCAACAATGCCCCCTGCACCCATGCTGCCATGCATGCATGCAACCATAGCTCTGTGCATGCATACGGTCATGCGCCCATCCACGCAGCCATCCATGCTCGCATTGGGCCATGCTTAAACTGTCCTACACTGCTCAGCACATTCACTTCACGTACTCTGCATTATTCACTCATCACCTTGCTCTCCCTCAACTCCCTGTGAACTCCCTGACCCCCCTGTGTCCCCAACGTCCACCCTCCCCCATTTGCTGTGCTGCAGCGCTCTGCAATTCAACTACCTGTCTGGACAGTTCCCCTCCACGCTTCTCGCCCTCACCACCCTCTCCAAGCTGTGAGCGCTCTCCCTCCTCCCTCTTTCTGCTGTCTCCCTTCCGCCTCACCTTCCCGCACTCTCCAATCACGCAGCATCTATGTCACCTCGTTTCTCCTTCCCCACTCACGTCTCCCTCCTTTTCCCTCTCCACACTGCCCCCACCCCCACCCCCCAGCTCCGTGGCCTACAACTACCTCACGGGTCCCTTCCCAACCGTGCCGGCATCAGCAAAGTCGCTGGACGTGCAGGGCAACTTCCTGTCGGGTTCCTTCCCCACCAACGCGCTCACCTACTGCGCCGCCACCACCAACTGCCTCACCGACGCCAACAACTGCGCCTCCCTCGGCATCACCCAGCGCTCCGCCTCCGACTGTGCCATCTGCGGCACCGCCTTTGGCCAGGGCACGCTGTGCGGGGGTGTGCCGTGCCTGGTCAACACCACGGGGGTCACGGCGCCTCCCACTGCCACGTCTCCCCCTCTCAACCTCTACTGCACGCCTGTTGCACTGGACACCAACACCAGTGAGTGCAGCAGTGCCGCTCCTGCCCTGCACACCACCCCCTCTTTGTGTGCTCTTCCCTCGGTGCCCACCTTTCCCACCAGGCTCATCCCACCGGCTCATCCTCATCCCACTACTGTGCCCCCTGCCACCACTGCGCCCCCTCTCCTCTCCTGTCCCATGCTGCAGCCACAATGCTGCTGGCGCTGAAGACGGTGCTGGGAGTGACGGCCACGGACTGGAGTGCAACGACGGTGGCACTGAAGCCCAAGGCGCTGAAGAGCAGCAGCGTGCCCCTCGCCACCATGGTGGGCGCCTGCACCGTCGAGGGGCAGGTGCCTGCTCCCGGCTCGTGGACTGGTGTCTACTGCAACTCCGCTGGCGCCATCGTCGCCCTGTGAGTGGGTCATGGCGTGGTGCTGTGAGTATCTTTCTCACCCGCCTGTTGTGAGTGTCTTTCTCACCCGCCTGCTGTGAGTGCCACGCTGCTCCAAATGTCGCACCATTTCCTTCTTTCCCTTTCACCGCTCTCACGTACGCTCATTCTTTTATCTTCAATCGTTCTCTCGTTCCCCCTACCCTTATCCCTTTTTCCACCCCTTCCTCTGATAAACCTGTAGGTCGCTGCCGAACCAGAAGCTGACTGGAAGCCTATCTTCCGACATCAGCAAGCTCACAGCGCTCACCGCACTGTTAGTCTCCCCTTCCCGCCCATGCACTCCTATCCGCGCCCATCTCCGCCCATCCACGCCCATTCACGCCCATGCAAGCCTGCCCTCACTTCACTCACTTCACTCATGCCGCCGCCACCCTTCAGTTCAGTGCAGCACAGGATTGCAAACAACTCTTCGGCTCTCGCAATTACCCACTTCTCATGCACAATGTTGTGTGAAAGAAGAGTGTTTTTCAGACGTCCAAAAAACTACCTGCTTCTCGTGCACAATGCTGAGTTGACTTTTGAGTCGTCTCAAAAGTCTCGTCGGCTCTCGCAAATACCTTCTTCTCGTGCACAATGCTGCCTCCACGCCTTAAGAGCCAGCCTGCCTCTGTATTCAAATGCATGTGTGTGGTGGTATGCACATGTGTGTGTGCACGTGCATGCTGTGGTGTCTATGTGCCTGCATCGGCATGTCATGCACTACACTGCTTGCACACATGCATTGGTGCCCGTGTGCTCGACTGCTCGCACACACGCAGGGATCTGAGCGCCAATCTCTTCCAGCAGCGCTTGGATGTGTTTGTTTCGCTCTTCAGCACTCTCAAGACACTCAAGTCTCTGTAAGTGCTGCACTCACCACCACATGCTGCACTCACCACCACGAGCTGCACTCACCACCATGTGCTATCGCTGCACCCACCCAAGCGTGTCAGAGCACCAGCAGTCACCACTCCGCTTCTCACATCGCTGCCCTCACCTCACTCCATTCCCGTCCGCCCTGCCCACTGGCAGCTCGCTGCAGTACAACTGGTTCTCCAGCTCCATCCCCTCCGCCCTGCTCGCCCTGCCAGCCCTCTCCACCGTGTGAGTGCCCCTCACCACCCTTGCCCTCTGCGCTCCCCCCCTCTGGAAAACTCCTTGTTTCTCCCACGCGTGGTATGCCCCGACTTTGCCTCTGCCACCACCCATCACTCACCACCCACCACTGCTTAACACCTGGCAGTTCTTCTCTCCCCATCCTCACTGCACCCCCTCTCCCCTCCCCCCTGCTGCGCGCAGCAAGCTGAACCGCAACTACCTGACGGGGGTGGTGCCCACCGTGGGGGCAGCGGTGAAGGCGCTGAACGTGGCAGACAACTTCCTCTCGGGCTCCTTCCCCACTGCGGCCCTCACGGCGTGCGATGCGCGCTCCAACTGCTTCGTGGACGCCTCCAAGTGCACCAACACCAACGGCACCGCGCAGCGCGCCGCTGCCGACTGCAACGTCTGCGGCTCCACCGGGGCTGCCGGCACGCTGTGCGGCGGCGGCTTCTGCACTCCCAACGCCACAGTGCCGGCCGGCACGGGCACGCCCAACACGGAGGGGCAGGCGGTGCTGCCGCTGTTCTGCCAGGGCGGCCCCATCGAGGTCAACATGCGCGGCGCCATGCTCAACCTCAAGGCATCGCTGGGGGTCACTCTCACTGACTGGCTCGCCACCTCGCCGTGCAACATCGCAGGGCAGAACACGGTGCCGGGCGCGTGGTCCAACGTGGTCTGTGACACCGCCGGCAAGGTCTTGAGCATGTGAGTAGCAGTCAGCAGCGGCGTTTCGGCCCTTTGTTTTGGGCTGAGCGGGTTTAGCTTACAGGGTGAGTAAGGAGGCCTGTTGGGCACAGCAGCCCCCGCACCGGGGGCGTGGTCCAACGTGGTGTGTGACTCGTCGGGCAAGGTCACGAGCATGTGAGTGGCGCCAGTGCCCTTGGGCTCTCTGCATTGCAGCAGCCTGCAGCCAGACACAGCCACAGGATGCATTTGCCTTTGTCTCGCGCCGGGGGCGTGGTCCAACGTGGTGTGTGACTCGGAGGGCAAGGCCGTGAGCATGTGAGCATGTGAGTAGCAACCATCTCTGTGGCGTCTCAGCCCGCAGAGGCGTTCTGGCTTGCTAGGCTGAGCTGCAGAGTGACTCGAGCCCTGTTGGACACAGTTGCAGGTCAAGCCGCCTGTCTGTCTTGCTCTATCTTGCGTGCCGGGATCTGTGATTCTCATTTGCTCCCCCCTCGCCCCGTTGCTGTCCCTCTTGCCTGTGCTTCGCGGCAGCGACCTCACGAGTCAGCTGCTGAAGGGGACCATGCATGCTGACATCACCAAGCTCACCACTCTCACCTCGCTGTAAGCTCATTACTCCCGCTTTGCCGTGTCTCTCCTTGCTCTAAGCTCACCACTCTCACTGTAGTCACGCGCTTCTCCTTGCTTTTACATCACCAAACCCTGCGTCCCGTCCTCCCCCTTCCCCCCCTCTCTTGCCCTCCCCTCTGCTCCGGCCTGTGTGCAGCATCCTGGACAGCAACCTGCTGCATTGCCGCCTGGCAATAAGAAGCTGAGTTTTGCGACGTCTCAGAAACCCCCTCCCCCTCCCCCCTTCCTCTCTCCCTGCCTGTCTGCAGCATCCTGGACAGCAACCTGCTGCAGGGCCGCCTGGCCTTCTTCACGTCGGCCTTCAAGGGGCTCTCAGCGCTCAAGCAATTGTCAGTCGTCTCTGCCTGCCTGCCCCCCACCTGCCCTCTGCCGCCCATCCCATTATCCCTGTTGCAAGCTTCATCGGACTTTGCAGCATTGCTTTCTCTGCTCTCCGCTGTTCCGCTTGCTCACGCTCTCTCGCTTGTGTGTTGCTGGTCTGTCTTGCCCTCACTCACTGCTGCCTGTGCCCGTGCCTGCTCTACCTCTCTCCCCTTCCCCCGCTGCCTGCCAATCTGCAGCAAGGCACGCTTCAACTTCTTCGCGGGACTGCTGCCTTCTGCACTGCTCACACTCCCCACACTCACCAACCTGTACCGCTGCCACCCTAGTCGCTTCCCCCCCCCCTCTTCTAACATGCCACCTGCTCGTTTTGCTCTTTTCTGTCACCGATCTTCTTCCTTGCCTCGTGCGTTCACCCGGACGCTCCTGAAGCAAAGGTCCCTGAGACAAGTGCGAGATGTTGTAGGTGGAAATTGGTACTTAAGGTAAGTACCAGGAATACTCTCCTCAAGATCCACGCAGAGTGTTGCTGCTCAGGCGTTGTATACTTTTCTCACCTCCTTGTTGTCGGTGCTGCTAGACAGGCCATTTTGCCCTGCGTGCACCCTCTCACCTCCTTGTCTCTTTCCACTCCACCCCACCCATGTGTTACTGTGCCGCATCCTCCCAGCGACATGAGCTACAACTACCTCACAGGCACCGTCCCCGCCACTGTAGGCACGGCGCTCAAGTCACTCAACATCGGAGGCAACTTCCTGTCAGGCAGCATCGGCACGCTCACCGGCGTGACGTGCTCGGCAGCACTCAACTGCCTCACCTCCCAGGGCGGCTGCACCTCCGGCGGCGTTCTCAACCGCGCCGGCTGTGGCATCTGCGGCAGCCCTGACGGCCAGGGCACTCTGTGCGGCGGTGGGCTGTGCGTGCCGAATGCTACGGAGGCTGTGGCGGGTAACAGCGTCCCCACGCTGTCCACGCCCATCATGAGCATGTACTGCACGGGGGTCATCATTGACGCTGCCTCAGGTAATGCAATGCTGGAATCACTTCTGAGAGTTCTCAAGAGTAGCAGCATCTAGGCCCATAGTGGAGTGAAAGCACCCTCACGCTGTCCGCGCCCATCAGGTCAACGTACTTTTGAGTTGACTCAAAAGTCACCTCACCAATGTCATCATCGACGCCTCCTCAGTTGATGCATTCTCCTGCCCTCTCACCCGTCTCCACGCCACCGTTATGCACCCTTGCTATGCGCCGTGCATTGTGTGTGCTCCTCACCAGTGATCATCCCTTCCTATCCATGCCTCCTCCCTCCCTGTGTCTTGCTCTCCTCTTAAACCTCCCTCACACTCACATCTGTCCCCTTGTCGGGCTCCCTGACTGGACCGCCCCCTACGCTGCACCAGTCACAGCGCTGGGCAACATAAAGACGGCGCTGGGAGTGACCTTCACGGACTGGGTGGCGCCCACGGCACTGCTCAAGCCCAAGGCAGCGGGCAGCACGGGCAGTGGCAGTGTGGCGCTGACGGACTGGCTCACCACGGGCGGCTACTGCACGGTGGAGGGACAGACCCCCGTCGCTGGCGCCTGGTCTGGCGTATTTTGCAACGCCCTCGGCCAGCCCGTCAGCCTGTGAGCGCCCTCCCACCCTCGCCCACTGCTGTGCTCTCTCGCTGTTTCCCACCGCGTCCGGCGTGCTCTGCAGCTCCCTCTGCCATGCTTTTGAGTCGACTCAAAAGCGTGCTCTGCAGCTCCCTCTGCCATGCTTTTGAGTCGACTCAAAAGCGTGCTCTGCAGCTCCCTCTGCCATGCTTTTGAGTCGACTCAAAAGCGTGCTCTGCAGCTCCCTCTGCCATGCTTTTGAGTCGACTCAAAAGCGTGCTCTGCAGCTCCCTCGGCCAGCCCGTCAGCCTGTCAGCACCCTCTCACCCTCTGCCCCCTGCTGCGCTCTCGTTTTTCCTTCTGCAGCTGCTGCTCGGGCTGTTGCAGTGCCTGTCTTGCTGTTCAAGCCACTACCAATGCACGTAACCATGGCAGCATGTAACTCGCCTCCCCGCCATGCCCCTCCCTCCTCCCCACCCCATGCTGGCAGGAAGCTGGACAATCAGAAGCTCACCGGCTCACTCCATGCTGACATCAGCAAGCTCTCCACGCTCACCATGCTGTGAGTGCCGCTCACTTGCTGCCCATGTGCGGCCCTGCCCATGTGCTGCCCATGTGCTGCCCATGTGCTGCCCATGTGCTACCCATGTGCTACCCATGTACTACCCATGTGCTACCCATGTGCTACCCATGTGCTACCCATGTGCTGCATGTGCTGAGTGCCGACCACATGCTCCCCTATGCCGAGCGCCAATGCCGGGCGGTAGGCAGGACACCCGCTCCACTCCTCCATGCCTTCATGCCCTCCCTCCCTCCGCTCCACCCCCTCCTCCCCCCTCTCCTCTCCTCGCACCACAATCTGCTGCTGCCCGTGCAGGGATGTGAGTTTCAACTTCTTCCGAAATAACATCGACACCTGGGCCTCGTCCCTCAAGCTCTCCACCAATCTGCTCTCTCTGTGAGTGTCTTGCCTCTGTGAGTGTCTTGCCTCTGTGAGTGTCTTGCCTCTGTGAGTGCCTTGCCTCTGTGAGTGTTTTGCCTCTGTAAGTGTCTTGCCTCTGTGAGTGTCTTGCCTCTGTGAGTGTTTTGCCTCTGGAAGTGTCTTGCCTCTGTGAGTGTCTTGCCTCTGTGAGTGCCTTGCCTCTGTGAGTGTTTTGCCTCTGTAAGTGTCTTGCCTCTGTGAGTGTCTTGCCTCTGTGAGTGTCTTGCCTCTGTGAGTGCCTTGCCTCTGTGAGTGTTTTGCCTCTGTAAGTGTCTTGCCTCTGTGAGTGTCTTGCCTCTGTGAGTGCCTTGCCTCTGTGAGTGCCTTGCCTCTGTGAGTGTCTTGCAAACCTGCGATCGCTGTGAGTGCATTTCTATCATGCTCACCTCAAGTGCCTTGCTTGCAAAAATTATGCAGTCAACCCTGTACTCCCTGCAGTCAACCCTGTACTCCCTGCAGTCAACCCTGTACTCCCTGCAGTCAACCCTGTACTCCCTGCAGTCAACCCTGTACTCCCTGCAGTCAACCCTGTACTCCCTGCAGTCAACCCTGTACTCCCTGCCCCCCCTCTCTCCCCGCCCCGCATGCAGCCGCCTCAACAACAACTATCTCTTCGGCTCTGTGCCCCTCTGGCTCGTCTCCTTCGCCAAGCTCACCAACCTGTCAGTGCCCCACCGTGTCCCACCCTGCCCCACCCTGCTCCACCCTGCCCTCACCTGCCACAAAATTATCAATCAACCCCTGCCACCCCAGCCGCCCCTAGCCTCGTGCATTTCCCAATCGTTATACAATCCATGTTATCCCCTCTGCTCCATCCATCTGTGGCCTCTCGTGTATCATGCTCTCCCTCACCCTTGCCTCTTGTGCCGCATGCCGCTGTCCCTTGGCCCTCTTCCGTGCCCCATGCGGCCGTCCCCTTATCTCCTCCCTCATCCGCCCCTTTCCTACCCTTCCAACCCCCTCCCTCCCTCTCCCCATTCCTTCTCCTCCCCCCGGCCTGCGTGCAGCGAGCTGAGCATGAACGCGCTCACGGGCACGTTCCCAGCACCCATCTCCACCGCACTCAAGCGCCTCATGGTGGACCAGAACTTCCTGGGCGGCACCTTCCCAGCCAACAGCGCCACCTACTGCACGGCCTACTACAACTGCATCACCTCCTACACCACCTGCCCCGCCGTCTACCCCAACCTGCCTCAGCCCAGCTACGGCTGCCAGTTCTGTGGCACCACCAACGCGCTGGGCACGGCGTGCATGGGCAACCCGTGTGTGCCGGTGACGCCGTCGCCCATCACGGCGGTCAACAAGTGGAACCCCGTCCCTGTCATGCGCTGCGATCCTGTCCCCATCCAAGCCACTCAAGGTAACTCACCCATTCATAGTGCCGCACCTAGGCCTCCCAGGGTACCCACTCACTGCGTGACGTGAACCACGACTTGCACATAAGCCACGGGTTGCCCCCCCCTTATGCTCAATTCCCCCTCCCCCCACTCCCTATCCCCATGGTGCGTGGCAGCGGCGGCGCTGCAGGCGATGGTACCGGGGCTGTAGGTGCAGCCAACGTGCACACCTCCTCACACATGACTCATGCCCTCATGCAAAAGTCCCCCTCCCCACACCACACCCCTCCCATGGCGCCCATCCCCCCTCCTCCCTTGCCGCCCCTGGCAGCGGCGGCGCTGCAGGCGATGGTACCGGGGCTGTGGACGCAGCCGACGTGCACCATAGCCGGGCAGGCCTACATTGCTGGCACGCTGCCCCGGGTCTTCTGCAATCCCGCTGGCTTGGTCCTGGACATGTACGCCTGCCTTTTGCACGCCTGCATGCCTGTGATGTGACAGGGAGTGGTGCATGCCCCATGCGCGCCTCATTCGTGAAGGATGCGTTGAATTAAGCTGCACGGCACACGTCATGTGTTCACGTTTGTACCGAGCAGTAACCTCCTACGGGGGAACGCCACGATGCATGTTCGTTGTCACAAGGTCTTGTTCTTGTGTTCTTGAATCTTCTTTCTGCGCGTGAGCTCCTTCTTTCTCATGATCTGTGCGTGTGTTCCGCTCCTTTCCTGTGCCCCACGCTGTGCCCCACGCTGTGCCCCACGCTGTGTCCCACAGTGTTCTCAACGGTGTCAAAGCGTCAGGCTTCTTCCCTCCCGACTCCTCAAAGCTCTCTGCGCTCACCAGGCTGTAAGCTCCACCTCTTGAAAGGTGACTTCTGAGTATATCCAAAAGTCACCTCTTCCTTTCCCCCGACTCCCAAAGCTCTCTGCGCTCACCAGGCTGTAAGCTCCACCTCTCGAAAGGTGACTTCTGAGTATATCCAAAAGTCACCTCTTCCTTTCCCCCGACTCCTCAAAGCTCTCTGTGCTCACCAGGCTGTAAGCTCCACCTCTCGAAAGGTGACTTCTGAGTATATCCAAAAGTCACCTCTTCCTTTCCCCCGACTCCTCAAAGCTCTCTGCGCTCACCAGGCTGTAAGCTCCACCTCTCGAAAGGTGACTTCTGAGTATATCCAAAAGTCACCTCTTCCTTTCCCCCGACTCCTCAAAGCTCTCTGTGCTCACCAGGCTGTAAGCTCCACCTCTCGAAAGGTGACTTCTGAGTATATCCAAAAGTCACCTCTTCCTTTCCCCCGACTCCTCAAAGCTCTCTGTGCTCACCAGGCTGTAAGCTCCACCTTACACACCGCAGTGCTTTCATTCCCATCACACACCGCAGTGCCATTGCATTCGTCTCACAAGTCACCTGACATCAACGTATGTGTTTGTGTGCCGCGCTGTGTGCTGTGCTGTGTGCCGCGCTGTGTGCCGCGCTGTGTGCTGTGCTGTGTGCCGCGCTGTGTGCTGTGATGTGCCATGCCTGCTGTGCTGCGTCGCAGTGACTTCTCGGTGAACTTCTTCACCAACCGCATCGACACCTTCCTTGCGCCCTTCCTTCCCATCAAGACCCTCAATACCCTGTAAGCCTCCCACCCACCTTCCGCACCCCTGCCTTGCTGGAATCTTCTGAGAAATTTCAAACCGCATCGACACATTCCTTGCACCCTTCCTTCCCATCAAGACCCTCAACACCCTGTAAGCCTCCCACACTTGCACCCCTGTGAGAATATCACGTTTGATGTTTTACCGCTCTCCTGCTGCCTCTCTACCTGTAAGCATGTCAACCCCTCCTCTCCCTGCAATCCCTTCACTCCTCTCTGTGCCTGCACTGACTTCACCTCCCTCTGTGCCTGCACCCCGCTCATCCCCCCCTCTTTGCTGCGCCCATGCATGCAGCCGCCTCCACCAGAACTACTTTTCGGCCTCCTTCCCGGCCAGCATCTCCCCCTCATTACCATCTTTTGAGACGTCTCCTAACTTGTTTCACCCCCCTCTTTGCTGCGCCCATGCATGCAGTCGCCTCCACCAGAACTACTTATCAGGCTCCTTCCCAGCCAGCATCTCCGCCCTCACTGCCCTCACAGAACTGTAAGCCTCCCTGCCCCCCTGCCCTCTTGCCCTCTCTCACCTCAAGCCTCGTTCGTTCATTTCCTACTCATCTCCACTCACTCTCACTGCCCTCTCGGAATTGCAAGCGCCTGCGCTCTCGTTCTTTTTCCTGACCCCTCTCATCTCCGTCTCCCACACGCGCCAATCCCTGTGCACCACTCCACCGCTGCCCACCACTATATATACCATGGGTAACGCAGGCGCCTGAACCTGAACTACCTGACGGGCAGCATGCCGGCAGCGCTGCCAGCAAGCCTCAAGGTGATCGACCTGTCGAGCAACTACCTGGTGGGCACCTTCCCCACCACCACCGCCACCTCCGTCGCCTGCGCCAGCAACTGCCTGCAGGACGCCTCCAAGTGCCCCGCCGGCTCTGCTCAGCGCGCTGCAGGCGGCTGCGCCATCTGCGAGACGACCGACGCCACGGGCAGGATGTGTGGCGGCGGCGTCTGCACGCCCAACGCCACGGACCTTATCACAGCGCAGACGGTCAACCCCGACACGGCGCCGCTCTACTGCCTCGGGGCGTCCATGGACCCTGCTATGGGTGAGTGCGCTGGTATGAGTGAGTGTGTTGTCATAGGTGTGTGGCGGCGGCATCTGCACGCCCAACGCCACGGACCTTATCACAGCGCAGACGGTCAACCCCGACACGGCGCCGCTCTACTGCCTCGGGGCGTCCATGGACCCTGCTATGGGTGAGTGCGCTGGTATGAGTGAGTGTGTTGTCATAGGTGTGTGGCGGCGGCATCTGCACGCCCAACGCCACGGACCTTATCACAGCGCAGACGGTCAACCCCGACACGGCGCCGCTCTACTGCCTCGGGGCGTCCATGGACCCTGCTATGGGTGAGTGCGCTGGTATGAGTGAGTGTGTTGTCATAGGTGTGTGGCGGCGGCATCTGCACGCCCAACGCCACGGACCTTATCACAGCGCAGACGGTCAACCCCGACACGGCGCCGCTCTACTGCCTCGGGGCGTCCATGGACCCTGCTATGGGTAAGTGCGCTGGTATGAGTGAGTGTGTTGTCATAGGTGTGTGGCGGCGGCATCTGCACGCCCAACGCCACGGACCTTATCACAGCGCAGACGGTCAACCCCGACACGGCGCCGCTCTACTGCCTCGGGGCGTCCATGGACCCTGCTATGGGTGAGTGCGCTGGTATGAGTGAGTGTGTTGTCATAGGTGTGTGGCGGCGGCATCTGCACGCCCAACGCCACGGACCTTATCACAGCGCAGACGGTCAACCCCGACACGGCGCCGCTCTACTGCCTCGGGGCGTCCATGGACCCTGCTATGGGTGAGTGCGCTGGTATGAGTGAGTGTGTTGTCATAGGTGTGTGGCGGCGGCATCTGCACGCCCAACGCCACGGACCTTATCACAGCGCAGACGGTCAACCCCGACACGGCGCCGCTCTACTGCCTCGGGGCGTCCATGGACCCTGCTATGGGTAAGTGCGCTGGTATGAGTGAGTGTGTTGTCATAGGTGTGTGGCGGCGGCATCTGCACGCCCAACGCCACGGACCTTATCACAGCGCAGACGGTCAACCCCGACACGGCGCCGCTCTACTGCCTCGGGGCGTCCATGGACCCTGCTATGGGTGAGTGCGCTGGTATGAGTGAGTGTGTTGTCATAGGTGTGTGGCGGCGGCATCTGCACGCCCAACGCCACGGACCTTATCACAGCGCAGACGGTCAACCCCGACACGGCGCCGCTCTACTGCCTCGGGGCGTCCATGGACCCTGCTATGGGTGAGTGCGCTGGGGGGTGGGGTGTGTGGAGCGGTATGCTTGCGGCTCTCGAGTTATGCTGTTTGGATTTATCATTGATTCAGCACTGCTGTTTCTCTCTGCAGCCACGTTACTCCCGCATGCTCACCCACCCATGCTGTGTGCGCCTCCAGCGGCGGCGCTGCTGAACGTGAGGGCGGCACTTGGAGTGATGCTCACGGACTGCTGCCTCTCCGTCCCTCCCCTGCCATTCCTCCCCTCTCCCCCATTACCATTCAATCCAACCTTAGCGGCGGCGCTGCTGAACGTGAGGGCGGCACTTGGAGTGATGCTCACGGACTGCTGCATCTCTGTCCCTCCCCTGCCATTCCTCACCTCTCCCCCATTACCATTCAATCCCAACCTTAGCGGCGGCGCTGCTGAACGTGAGGGCGGCACTTGGAGTGATGCTCACGGACTGCTGCCTCTCTGTCCCTCCCCTGCCATTCCTCACCTCTCCCCCATTACCATTCAATCCCAACCTTAGCGGCGGCGCTGCTGAACATGAGGGCATCGCTGGGGGTGACGTTCACGGACTGGGCGCTGGACTCGCCGTGCACCATCCAGGGGCTGCCGCCGCTGCCAGGCGCCTGGTCCAACGTCATCTGCAACGTCTCCGGCAAAGTCATGTCTATGTGAGTGGCAAAGTCATGTCCATGTGAGTGCCTCTTGGAGCTGAGTCATGTCGCTGTGAATGCCTCTTGGGTTGGGGCAAAGTCATCTCGCTGTGAGTACCTCACTGCACTCACCTTGACGCGCCTCTCTTCGTGCTTTGGTGACTGCTTAGAACTGCTGAAACACTTGTCTGCGAGACTCACGTTTCACATGTGTCCTTGTGGGTGTCCTTTCCATGTGTGTATGCATGACCATTGGCAACATACAGCAATCTGGCGCAGCAGAAGCTCCAAGGGACCATGCATGCGGACATCTCCAAGCTCACCGCTCTCACTTACATGTAAGCAGCTGCATGTGCATGTGATCAGCTCACGCAGATGTGTGCCGCCCAACTGCCTGCTCAGAGTAATTTCGCTTGTACTCTTGCGCTTGACCTTGAGTGTGCGCGCGCTTCGGTGCCAACTTTCGTTCATCCTGCACTGTTCATCTATCACCTCTGTTTACATGTGAGGTTTGAGACGTCTCAAAATTGGTGCCAACTTTCGTTCATCCCGCTCCGTTCATCTATCACCTCTGTGCTTGCATGCGCCCAGCTCCCGCGCAGCAATCTGTGCTCCAACTTGCTGGAGAGTTGTCTGGAAGTCTTCGCTTGTGCTTGCCCTTGCCCTTGTCCTTGTCTCTGCTGCCATCGTTGAATCCTCACCCCCCTGTGCTTGCATGCGCCCTGGCTTCTCTCCCCTCGCAGTAATCTGCGCTCCAACCTGCTGGAGGGCCGTCTGGACGTCTTCACGACCAACTTCAAGGCGCTCACGGCGCTCAAGGAAGCGTGAGTGCCGCCTGCATGGAATGGCACCACCGCACTGCACCGCGCCGCACCGCACTGCATGCCCTTGCCTCAAGCGTTCCTGCCACCCCATCCCCTTCGTGTCATCTCCGTATAGCGTCAACCTCCGCATGCTTCCCGCCCTTGACGCCCTACCTTACCTACACTCTCTCCTCCCCTCCTTGCATCCCTTGGCGTCTCCCCCTTCGCCCCCTGCAGCTACTTTGACTTCAACTGGTTCACAGGGCCCATCCCGTCCACCCTAGTCACCATCGCGACCCTCTCCACCTTGTGAGTCTCACCGGTCCTTGCTTTGGGATGGGACGTCAACTTTTTTAAACAACACAGATATTGAGTAACTAAGAATCGTCCGCGCTCATCACCATCACCACCCTCTCCGCCTTGTGTTGAATTTTGAGGCGCCTCAAAATTCAACTTTTGAGGCGCCTCAAAATCGTCCGCGCTCGTCACCTTCACCACCCTCTCTGCCTTGTAGATCCCACCTCTCCCTGCCTTGGGATGGGACAGTTCCCTCCTCAGGACTGCTTTCCTTGCGAGTTTCTAACCCAGTGCTAGCCCCAAATGGCACTCACGTCCCGCTGCTCCCAAGTACATTGAGTCTCTTGCACGTAGACGCCCTGCTCCCCTCGTTCCCTATCACACCACCGCCTTTCCGCCCCTGCTCTTCGGCTCTCTAACACACCGTGCCTGCCCTTCACTGAAGCCTCATGTTCTCTCCTCACGTGCTTCCACACTAACTCCTCCTTGCCCACCCTCCCTCCCCCTTCCCCCCACCCCACCCCCCACCTGCAGTGGTGCGAGCTACAACTACCTGTACGGTTCCATTCCCGCTCCTGGCGCGGCACTCAAGGCCATAGCGCTGGACGGCAACTGGCTGTCGGGCACCTTCCCTGGAACCGGCTTCTCCTCCTGCTCCGCCACCAGCAACTGCCTCGCCAGCATCGGCGCCTGCACCACGCTCGGCACCGTGCAGCGCGCCGCCGCCGCCTGCGCCGTCTGCGACACCGCAGACGGCTCAGGCACCGTGTGCGGCGGCGGCACGTGTGCACCCGACACAGCTGCGCCTCTCAGCACCAGCACCCCCAACAGCGCGACGGCGGCGGTGCTGCCGCGGTTCTGCGTCGGCGTGCCACTGGACGCCACGCAGGGCAACATCCTGCTGGCGCTCAAGACCACGCTGGGCGCCACCTTCTCTGATTGGACCGCCTCCACACTCGCCGCCCCCAAGGCCACCTCCACCAAGCCCAAGAAGGGGCCCAAGCGCCGGTCCCTGCAAGGGAGGGGGTCAGGGCTGCTGTACGACTGGAAGGCGGTGGGGTCGTGCACCATCCAGGGCCAGACGCCCATTGCTGGCTCTTGGACCGGCGTGCGCTGCTCTCCGCTCGGCCAAGTCGTCAGCCTGTGAGTGCCGCCGCTTCTGCTGCCCTCCCTCTCCCTATGTTACCCCACCGTGCCTGTGCACCGCTGGCGCTTCTCCGGCTGCCTTTCACTCACCTCTCTCCCTGCCCCTGTGTGCTTCTGCTGCTGCTCCGTGTGCCCCCTGTTGCTGCCTGAAACCCGGTGAGCAGGGACCTGAGGAGCCAGCTGTTGAGTGGCACCGTGCACTCCGACATCAGCAAGCTCTCCACCCTCACCTCGCTGTAAGCCGCCCCTTACGTTGCAGTAAGCCATCCATCAACTCGCAGTGAGCCGTGTGGTCATTGTGTGAGGACTGCCTTGTCGTGCCCACGTCCGATGCCACCAGCTGTGCTGCTCGCTGTAGCCACTTGTCAGCGTCTCAGCCTCAACACGGCAACACAAGCCCGCCCTCTCTCTCGCGCCCTTCTTCCACGTCCCTCCCCCACGCCCCTCCCCCACGCCCCTCCGCCACCCCCCTGGTCCTGTGTGCAGGCGGCTGTCGTCCAACCTCTTCATTAGCCGCCTCGACTCCTACATCGTGCCCATCACGCCCCTCCCCCCACGCTCTCCTCCTTCCACCCCTTATAACCCCCCTACCCTTTATAACCCCCCTGCATCAACCCCCCAACCATGCATGCAGGCGGCTGTCGTCCAACCTCTTCTTCAGCCGCCTTGACTCCTACATCGTGCCCATCACGCCCACCGCCAGCCTCAAGGAGCTGTCAGTGCCACCACGCCTCCGCCCCTCCATGCCCATTCCCCCCCTTGCCTCCCCCCACCCTCTCTAGTTGCCTCTTCGCACCTCTCTGCTCTTACTGCTCTTTCTGCTCTTTCTGCTCTCTCTGCTCTTACTGCTCTTTCTGCTCTTTCTGCTCTTTCTGCTCTTTCTGCTCTTTCTGCTCTTGTGCTTGTTTACTTCGGCTTTCTGCTGTCCACCCGTTCTCAAAACATTGTTCCACCCGTTCCACCCGTTCCACCCGTCCACATGTATGTGTGCATGTGTGTGTGCATGTTCTATGGCACTGTCCCTCGTTTGTGCCTCAGCTGGTTCAATTATGTGTATGTCTGTGTGCGTGCTCCCTCGTCCTCCCCGTCCCCCCTCCTCCCCAACCCCCCACCAGCCACATCAACTTCAACTGGTTCTATGGCACCGTCCCCACCACGCTCGTCAACATGCCAGCCCTCTCCATTCTGTAAGCCTGCACCCCACACCCTCCAGTTTTGAGGTGTCTCTAAACGGCCCTCTCCATTCCGTAAGCCCGCACCGCCCCCCACACCCTCCTCCACTCAACATCCTTTCCCCACCTAACCCACTGCCCCATCGCTCTCACTCCTTCACGTCGCTTCAAGCTCCCCTCCACCCACCCGTTCCTAACACACAGCCGATGCTTCGCCTGCGTTGGTGCGTGCGTGCAACTCTTCCCCCAAACCCCAGTGTGGTGAGCTACAACTACCTCACAGGCACACTGCCCAAGCCAGGGGCATCACTCAAGGCGCTCGACACAGAGTTCAACTTCCTCTCAGGCTCCTTCCCCGTCGCCTCTCTCGCCTACTGCACAGCCCGCAGCAACTGCTTCGTCAACGCCACCGCGTGCCTGAACCTTGACGGGACCGTGCAGAGGGGCGCGGGCTGCAACGTGTGTGGGTCCAGCAACGGGCAGCTGCCACTGTGTGGCGGGGCGGTGTGCACGCCCGACCCCTCGGCGTATGTGACGTCCAAAGTACCCAACAGCGCCTCCGCTCCCACCCTCGCCCTCAAGTGCCCTTCCTTGCCCCTCGATGCCACGAGCTGTGAGTGCTCCCCTGCCCATGCCGTGCCCACTGCACCGCACAGCGCTGCCATGCCTTGCACCGGCCCACTCTTGCGCCTGCAGTGCGCCATGCTGCCTGCTGCCTTACCTGCTACTCAGATGTGTATGTACGTATGGGAGTGCGTGGGCGTGCATGCACACTTGCTCACCCGTTTCTCCTCACGCTGCCCCCCCCCACCATCTCCACCCCCCCACTCCCGCTCCTCCTGCATGTGTCCGCTGGTGAACATAGGGGCGGCGCTGGTGAACATAGGGGCGGCGCTGGTGAACATAGGGGCGGCGCTGGTGAACATAGGGGCGGCGCTGGTGAACATAGGGGCGGCGCTGGTGAACATAGGGGCGGCGCTGGGAGGGACGCACAGATTCTCACCAATGTCTTGCTTCCTTTCTTCTGTGCGTGCTGCCCCCCCTCACTCCTCTGCCTTCGCCCTGTGAGCAGCGGCGGCGCTGGTGAACATAGGGGCGGCGCTGGGAGTGACACACACGGACTGGAGTGCCAGCAGCGGCTGCAGCATCCTGGGGCAGAGCCCTGCACCCAAGTCCTGGCCGGGCGTCTGGTGCAGCGGCAGCGGCGCCGTCGTCTCCCTGTGAGCCTCACCCTCCCTCCGTCTCGCTCTCCTCTCTCTGTCCTCACCCGCTTGAAACGTTTTTTTTTTTAACATGTGAATCTTGGCAAGTAAGACGAACGCGGCCAGAAGCAAACGGAAAGTGAATGTCAAGTTACGAGGACATGATGAGGAGTGGAAGGAAGAAACACATTTGTTTGGCTCTCTGTATGTCTCTCCTTCCCAGGAGCTTCGCCTCTCATGCCACTCATACACCTCCACTCGCCCCACCCGCTGTGTGCATGTGGCCGTGGCAGCATTCTGGACAACCAGAAGCTTCGAGGCACCATCCATGCAGACATGACCAAACTCACCAGTCTCACCTATCTGTATGTGCATCACCCACCTGTATGTGCATCACCCACCTGTATGTGCATCACCCACCTGTATGTGCATCACCCACCTGTATGTGCATCACCCACCTGTATGTGCATCACCCACCTGTATGCGCATCACCCACCTGTATGCGCATCACCCACCTGTATGCGCATCACCCACCTGTATGCGCATCACCCACCTGTATGCGCATCACCCACCTGTATGCGCATCACCCACCTGTATGCGCATCACCCACCTGTATGCGCATCACCCACCTGTATGCGCATGGCCTCATACCCAGCCGTTAGTTCTGCTCTCCCCCATTCTCCCATGCTCGCCAGCCCGCCACCTATTCACTCCCCCCCTCCCTCCCCTCTCCCAAGTGCTTGCTCATCCCCCCCGATGCTCCTTCCCCCCCGCCCCCCCTCCACCCTCCCCTTCCTTCCCTGTGGGCAGGCATCTGGGCTACAATCTGCTGTACGGCCGTCTATCCACCTTCATCTCCAACATCACGCCGCTCACCGCCATTGTCACCCTGTGCGTCCCCTCGCCCCTCTCCTCCCCTTCCACCCTCATCTCACATGCCTTCCACCCACATCTCACATGCCTTCCACCCTCATCTCACATGCCTTCCACCCTCATCTCACATGCCTCCCACCATCCGCTCACATGCCGCCCACCATCCGCCCACCTTCCCCTCACTTTGCCAACCTTTTATAGCACTACCTTCCCCTCTCTTTGCTCACGCGTCCTCCTCTCCATGTGTGTGTGGCCCCCCCACATGTGTGCGCCTCTCTGCATGTGCGTCCCCCTCTCGCCCGCCAGCAACCTCAACTTCAACTACCTCTACGACAGCGTGCCCTCCACTCTCTTCAACATGGCATCACTCACAGAAATGTCAGTATCACACCATGTGATCCTCATGTGTTGGAACACCAAGGTATGGCTACCCGAGCTGCATGTGTGCGCCTCAAGCTCAAGCTATGGCTACCCGAGCTGCATGTGTGCGCCTCAAGCTCAAGCTATGGCTACCCGAGCTGCATGTGTGCGCCTCAAGCTCAAGCTATGGCTAACCAGCTCAAGCTCAAGCACCTGGCCGTCAGCCACAACTTCTGAGACGTCTCAAAACTCTTTCACTCACAAGGCACCACCTTTCCACCTCCCCTCCCAGTTTTAAGTCGACTCAGAACCTGTCCACCACTCTTCCCCGCTCCCCTCCTCCCCGAAAACCCCCCGTGCGGCCGCCTGAGCGCCAACTCGCTCTCTCCCTTATTCCATCCGAATATCCATGTCTGTTTTTTCCACCCATCCGCACGCACATCCAATCACATGCCACCCTTCACCCCTGCTCCCCCCCAATACAGCCGGCTGAGCGCCAACTACCTGACGGGCACGCTGCCAGCCGTGCCCACCAAGCTCAAGTACCTGGCCGTCAACCACAACTTCCTCGCTGGCGCCTTCCCCAACCAGGCCTTCCAGTTCTGCGACATCCGCAGCAACTGCTTCTCAAACCTCGGCTCCTGCTACAACGCCTACGGCGTTGCTCAGCGCACCTCAGGCTGCAACATCTGCGCCACCACCAACGCCGCTCCGCCTCTCTGCAGCGGAGCTCCGTGCGTTCTCAATGCCACAAATGTTCTGGCGGCTGGCACGGTGAACAGCCTCACGGCGGTCGTGCAGCCGTTCTATTGTGGACCTGCTATCATCGATGCCACTGCTGGTGAGTGCACACCCACATCTCTGCGTCACATGCACTCCCTGTATTCTCAACGCCACGAGTGTTCTGGCGGCTGGCACGGTGAACAGCCTCACGGCGGTCGTGCAGCCGTTCTATTGTGGACCTGCTATCATCGATGCCACTGCTGGTGAGTGCACACCCACATCTCTGCGTCACATGCACTCCCTGTATTCTCAACGCCACGAGTGTTCTGGCGGCTGGCACGGTGAACAGCCTCACGGCGGTCGTGCAGCCGTTCTACTGTGGACCCGCCATCATTGACGCCACTGCTGGTGAGCCCACCCACCCTGCCTGCCTGCCTGCACGTTCCATATGCAGCTAGAGGCAGACACTTGCACTCTTATGCACACACATGTGCACTCATGCACACACATGCGCTCATATGCACGCACATGCACTGATATGCGACACTCATCGTGCTTCTTGTCTTCCTCTCCCCTCACTGCCCTCCCTGTTGCCTCGCCTCGCCTCAACCCCCTCTTCTTCCCCTCAACCCCCTCTTCTTCCCCTCAACCCCCTCTTCTTCCCCTCAACCCCCTCTTCTTCCCATCAACCCCCTCTTCTTCCCCTCAACCCCCTCTTCTTCCCCTCAACCCCCTCTTCTTCCCCTCAACCCCCTCTTCTTCCCCTCAACCCCCTCTTCTTCCCCTCAACCCCCTCTTCTTCCCCTCAACCCCCTCTTCTTCCCCTCAACCCCCTCTTCTTCCCCTCTTTTGTCCGTGCAATGGCAGCGCAAGCGCTGCTGGTGCTGAGGGTGGCGCTGGGAGTGACGCAGACGAGCTGGCTGGTGGACTCGCCGTGCGACATCGCGGGTAACCCGCCCATGCCGGGCAGCTGGGCGGGCGTTGGCTGTGACACCACCGGCAAAGTCCTCACCCTGTCAGTGCCGCTCGCCCTGCATGCCCTTGCCCATGCTGAGGCATGCTAAATTGTGAATTCACAATTTAGCAATTCAACTAATTGCCCATGTTAATTTAGTTGAGACGTCTCACAATTCATGCCCAGCAGCTGGGCGGGGGTGGCCTGTGACACCACTGGCCAAGTCGTCTCCTTGTGTGTGCCGCACCTCCTGCATCATGTGCCTGCCACGTGTGTCCCTGTGTATTCTCTGCATAGATTGCAGATGGCACTCCCTTCCGTTTTGCTCCCTAGACTGCTTTTGCGCCTTTGATCTGCTGACTCATTCCTGTGTTTTTATGGTGGCATGATGGCACGGTGGCATGGTGACGTCACCCCAGGGAGCTACCCAACATGGGACTGCGAGGAGATCTGCCTGCTGACGTGTCCAAGCTCACTGCCCTCACCCGCATGTGAGTGCCTCTCCCCCTGCAATCGCTTCTGCACGTGCACCTCACTTGGGTTGGGACCCATGCAACATGACTCTGCAACCCCTCGTTCGCTCTTCCTGCAAAGTGCTCCATGCTTGCTCATGCAAGTGCCATTTCCATGCTTGCTCATGCAAGTGCCATTTCCATGCTTGCTCATGCAAGTGCCATTTCCATGCTTGCTCATGCAAGTGCCATTTCCATGCTTGCTCATGCAAGTGCCATTTCCATGCTTGCTCATGCAAGTGCCATTTCCATGCTTGCTCATGCAAGTGCCATTTCCATGCTTGCTCATGCAAGTGCCATTTCCATGCTTGCTCATGCAAGTGCCATTTCCATGCTTGCTCATGCAAGTGCCATTTCCATGCTTGCTCATGCAAGTGCCATTTCCATGCTTGCTCATGCAAGTGCCATTTCCATGCTTGCTCATGCAAGTGCCATTTCCATGCTTGCTCATGCAAGTGCCATTTCCATGCTTGCTCATGCAAGTGCCATTTCCATGCTTGCTCATGCAAGTGCCATTTCCATGCTTGCTCATGCAAGTGCCATTTCCATGCTTGCTCATGCAAGTGCCATTTCCATGCTTGCTCATGCAAGTGCCATTTCCATGCTTGCTCATGCAAGTGCCATTTCCATGCTTGCTCATGCAAGTGCCATTTCCATGCTTGCTCATGCAAGTGCCATTTCCATGCTTGCTCATGCAAGTGCCATTTCCATGCTTGCTCATGCAAGTGCCATTTCCATGCTTGCTCATGCAAGTGCCATTTCCATGCTTGCTCATGCAAGTGCCATTTCCATGCTTGCTCATGCAAGTGCCATTTCCATGCTTGCTCATGCAAGTGCCATTTCCATGCTTGCTCATGCAAGTGCCATTTCCATGCTTGCTCATGCAAGTGCCATTTCCATGCTTGCTCATGCAAGTGCCATTTCCATGCTTGCTCATGCAAGTGCCATTTCCATGCTTGCTCATGCAAGTGCCATTTCCATGCTTGCTCATGCAAGTGCCATTTCCATGCTTGCTCATGCAAGTGCCATTTCCATGCTTGCTCATGCAAGTGCCATTTCCATGCTTGCTCATGCAAGTGCCATTTCCATGCGCACCCATCCTCCTCTCCTTCACTCTCGTGTTGTGCTGCCTGGAAACCCCCCTGAAACACCCTTTCCCCTCCTCCATACCCCCAACAGCAACATGGCGTCTAACCTGCTGGAGGCACGGCTGGGCGAGTGGGGCACGTCGCTGTCTTGAGTCAACGCAAAACTTCCCTCACCCTCGTGTCTTGCCCCCATAAACCCCTTTCCCCTCCTCCGTACCCCCGGCAGCAACATGGCGTCCAACCTGCTGGAGGCACGCCTGGGCGAGTGGGCCACGGTGCTGACCACTCTCAAGGCACTCAAGCACCTGTCAGTGCCCTGCCCTCTCATTCCTTGCCCTGCCATTCCTGCCGGGCCGCACCCTGCCCTCCCTGCCCTGCCATGCCCTGCCCGGTTCTCCTTATGCTCGCGTTTCCATCCATCCCCTGGCACCTCGCCACCTTCCCCAGTCATTTCTCCACCTTCCCCACCCCTCACTGCAGCCCTCACTCCTTCACCACTCTCTACCCCTCTCCACCCCTCCCCAACAGCGCTCTCAACTACAACTGGTTCGCCGGCCCTCTGCCATCCTACCTGCTCACGCTCTCAACCCTCACAACGCTGTAAGTGGCACACTCACTCATGCCCACACACGCACACGCACGCATGCGCAGGTGCACTCACCTCACACACAGTCATGTATCGTGCACTGATAGGAATCTTTCATTAAGCCCTGCTCTCTGCTCACTCCTTTTGAGGCGCCTCAAAAGTCGCATGCGCAGGTGCACTCTCCTCACACACAGTCATGTATAGCGCACGGGTAGGAATCTTTCGTTAAGGCCTGCTCTCTGCTCACTCCTCCTTGCTCCAGGCAGCCTCTCACCTATTCCCCACAACCCACACCCCACCCTCTCCTAGCGCTGCTCACACGCGCCGCTCGCCACTTTCCGTCTCCTCCATTGAACTCAATCACCCTTCCCCCCGTCCCACCTGTAGCAACCAACCTGCAACTCAACCTCCTCATACGTGCCATTTGCCACTTTCTCTTCTCCTTCATCGCTCGCCCCCCTTCCTCCTGCTGTCCCACCTGCATCAGCAACTCGCATGACAACAACCTCACAGGCAACACCACGGATGCCAGTGCCACCAATGACATGCCACTCATCATCCTCTCCTCTCTCACCCACCCTCCACCACCCTTCCCCCTGCTCTCCCACCTACAGCAACCTACAGTTCAACTACCTCACCGGCACCATCACAGGCGTCCCAGCAGCGGCCCTCAAGACCATAAACGTGGCGTCCAACTTCCTGGCGGGCTCCTTCCCGGCGTCCTCCACCACCATGTGTGACGCGCGCAACAACTGCCTGCTCGACGCCTCCAAGTGTGTCTCCTCGGGCTCCTCCGTGCAGCGTGCTGCTGCCGCTTGCGCCATCTGCGGCTACGCCAACGCCTCCACGCTGCTGTGCGGTGGGGGAGTGTGCGCGCCGAATACTACCCTGGTGCTGCCGACAAAGACGCCCAACAGTGCTTCTGCTGCCGTGCTGCCACTCATGTGCACTGGCGTTCGCGTCGACCCTGCTGCCCGTGCGTTGCTCTTCCCCCTCCTTCACCCTGCTCCCTTGCCCTGCTCCTTTAGCCTGCTCTGCTGCCTGTGAGTCCCTCTGCCTCCTCCCTCTGCCTCCTCCTTTTGCCTCCTCCCTCTGCTTGCTCTGCTGCTCACAAACCCTCCTCTCTCTCCCATGTGCCATGCACTCTGCCACCTCTGCGTTCCGCTCCCGCTCACCCACTCTCCCTCTCGGCCTCTTCACCCCCCTGGATCCCCCTGCGCGCTTCCTTGCGCCCCCACTCCCCGCAGTGCCAATCCTGACAAACCTGAAAACAGCGCTGGGAGTGCCGCACCAAGGGTGGGGCGTGCAGACGCTGTGCACGGTGACAGGCATCTACAGGGGCCCGCAGGACATGTCGGCGGTCAACTGCAACATCCAGGGCGGCGTGGTCGACATCTTCCTCAAGCAGCGCTTCCTGCGTGGCACCATGCACCCCGACATCTCCAAGTTCACCGCCCTCACCGCCCTGTCAGTCCCCTCTCCGCCTTGTCAGTCCACCCACCCATTACTAATTAATTGAGACTCTTATGGAGACCCATGGCTTGCAGGGGTCCGAACCAAACCCTTGTATCTACCATGCGTGGCACCATGCACTCCGACATCTCCAAGTTCACCGGTCTCACCGCCCTGTCAGTGCACCCATTATTCTCTAGATGAGGTTTTTGCGGAGACCCACGGCTTGCTGCGGCTCGAACCGTTTTTTCTACCATGGTGGCACCATGCACCCCGCCGTTTCCACGTTTCCAGCCCTCACTGTCGTGTCAGCGCCCTCTCGCCTGCTCCCATCGTCTATAATTGAGTCACTTTTCAGAGTTCTCAGTAAAGAATTCTCAAAAGAAACTTTTCAAAGCAGCGCTTCATGCGCGGCACCATGCACCCCGACATCTCCAAGCTCACCGCCCTCACCGCCCTGTCAGCAAGGAGACGATGCTTTAGTCGAATAACATTCAGCTCACAGCCCCCCCTCACTGCCCTGTCAGTGCCGCTCGCTCCCTCCTGCCGCGTATACCTGCCCGCAGCTCATCTCCGCCACTCATTCCCGTCAAGCAACTTCCTGCCTGTCACTCCGTGCCCTCTGCAGGGACAATTCAGGCAACTTTTTGTCGGGCCCATTGGACCCTTTAATCTCACTGGTTTTCATCCAACTAAAAAGTCATTTCCCACTTCCAAACCGCCCCCTTCCCTGCTGTCCCCCTACAGGGACATGTCGAGCAACTTCCTGTCGGGCCGGCTGGACCCCTTCATCGCGCCGCTCACCGGCCTCACCGCGCTGAAATACCTGTACGCGCTCCACCCTGCCCCCGTTCTCTCTTCTCCCGCTCGCTCCTGCAATCCTTGTTCTTCGCTGTTCTCCATGCCCTCGTCCCGCCTGTCTCTGCTCGTCCGTAATATGCCGCATCCCCCCTCTCTCCCCCTCCCTCCCTCCCCACCTCCTGCGAGCTGCGGCGCAGGGTGATGAGTTACATTGAGTTGACTTTTGAGGCGCCTCAGAAATCCCCTCCCTCCCTCCCCACTCACCTCCTGCGAGCCGCGGCGCAGGGTGATGAGTTACATTGAGTTGAATTTTGAGGCGCCTCAGAAATCCCCTCCCTCCCTCCCCACCCACCTCCTGCGAGCCGCGGCGCAGGGTGATGAGTTACATTGAGTTGAGTTTTGAGGCGCCTCAGAAATCCCCTCCCTCCCTCCCCACCCACCTCCTGCGAGCCGCGGCGCAGGGTGATGAGTTACATTGAGTTGAATTTTGAGGCGCCTCAGAAATCCCCTCCCTCCCCACCCACCTCCTGTGTGTCGTGGTGCAGGGTGATGAGTTACAACTTCTTCTCGGGCTCCCTCCCCTCCACCATCTCCTCCATCAAGGGCCTATACATGCTGTGAGTACCCTCCACTTCACCTCAGACCCTCCCCCCACAAGCACCGTGTCTTTCGAAATTTCTCAAAAGTCACACCAGCTTGTCTCACATGCTATGAGCCCCCTAAATCTCCCCTCCACCATCTCCGCCATCAAGATCCTCTACATGCTGTGAGTACCCTCCACCTCCCCCCACTCAACCGCCCTGCCCAGATTCCATCTTTCCTTTGATGCTGTGAGCGCCCTCAACCTCTCCCCCGCAACCACCCTGTCCAAATTCCCTGCACTCGCTCTCCCCTCTGCATGCCCTCTGTTCTGCCTTGCTGTGGGATGGGATGCACCATAAACCACACCCACCCATATCCCACCCCGTCCCCACGTGCTGCGCGTGCGCGTGTGTGCACGCGTGTGTGTGGCGTGTGCGCACATGTGGTGCGAGCAGGAGCGTGGGGTGGAACTACCTGACAGGGTCGCTGCCGGTGCTGGGATTTGGAGTTGGGAGTAGAATTACTTTAACTCGCCAGCTGGCTCTTTTGCACCCCTCTCCCACTCCGTCCCCCCATGCTGCATGCGTGTGTGTGCATTCGGTGAATGCAGGAGCGTGGGGTTGAACTGCTAGACCCGGTCGGTGCCAGTGCTGGACACAGCTCTGCAGGTTTTTCAGCTATCTTAAAAATCTGTGTGTGCGTGTGTGTGTGTGCGTGTGCGAGCAGGAGCGTGGGGTGGAACTACCTGACAGGGTCGGTGCCGGTGCTGGGAACATCAACCCTGCAGGTGCTGGATCTGGAGAACAATTGGTTCACCGGCAAATTCCCAACCACTGCCAACTGGTACTTCTGCACGGCGCGGGCCAACTGCTTCATCGACCCCACGCCGTGCAAGAACAACAACAACCAGGGCATCACGCAGCGGCCGTCCTGTGCCATTTGTAACAGCGCGGATGGAACGGGCACGCTGTGCGGTGGGATTGTGGCCTGCCAGCCGGACCCGGCAGCTGTGAAGGCTGCAACTTCCTTCCCAACGACCAGCACTCCTGTGCTGCCGCTCACATGCCCGCCTGTTCCACCCGTCACCACCGACGCCACTGCAGGTACGTCTGTGGCTGTGCCTCATGCTGCTGCTGCCACCGTGCACCTGCTGTCCAAAGTCCAAGCGATTCACCACTGCTGCCCGTGTGCTTGCCCATGCGTCTCACTGCTGCTGCTGGCGCCCATGCGCATGCCTGTGCATCATCTCTCATGCTTCCCCACTCCATGTGCTTGCCCATGCCTCTCATGTGCTTGCCCATGCCTCTCATGTGCTTGCCCATGTGCTTGCCCATGCCTCTCATGTGCTTGCCAATGCCTCTCATCACACCTACCCATGTGCTCCACTGCGCCCCGCCACCAGCATCGGCACTGATGAACATCAAGACGGCGCCGGGAGTGACGTACACCAGCTGGGCGCCTTCATCCTCCTGCACTGCTGCCTGTGTGCATGCCCATGCCTCTCACCGCTGCTGCCACATGCCCCTTTCCCTCCATGCACCCCAACCCCCACCCCCCCCACCGCCCCCGCCACCAGCATCGGCACTGATGAACATCAAGACGGCGCTGGGAGTGACGTACACCAATTGGGCAGCCTCCTCCACCTGCACTGCTGTTGGCAGCGCGGGCGGTGGTGGCTTCACTGGCGTTGAGTGTGACTCCCTCGGCAACCCCGTCAAGATGTGAGCATGAAGCGTTCTCGAGGCGTTTAATTGTGATTTTTAGGCGCCTCATTACTGTCCGTTCCCCTAGATCAGTCTCCCCATGCTGCTCCCACCATTGCTCACTTTTCCTTCACTCTCTCCACTTGCTCCCACCTTCCCACGTCCTCCCCTCCACCACCCCCTCCTCCCCATATACAGCACCCTGGACAATCAGAAGCTGTTTGGCATTCTGCATGCTGACATCACCAAGCTCACGGCACTCACATTCATGTAAGCACTCACATTCACAGATTCTCATCAAAACGAGGTGACTTTTGAGTCGACTCAAAAGTCACCCCACTTGTCTCCTCCGTTCTGGCCATCCACAGATTCTCATCAAAACGAGGTGACTTTTGAGTCGACTCAAAAGTCACCTCACTTGTCTCCTCCGTTCTGGCCATCCACAGATTCTCATCAAAACGCAACTCTACTCTCAAACACCTTCCTATTCCTCTCTTCCTTTCCGCCTTCTCTCCCTTCTCCCCTCCTTGCTGCGTGTGCCACTGTGTGTGATTGCTGCAGAAGTCCAACTTCTTCAAAACTCCCCTGGACGAGTTCCCCTGCAGAATTCCTCTTGAGGGGCCTCAAAAGCCAGCCTCGCTGCTCCGCTCACTTCCCCCAATTCCTCCCCCAACCCCTGCCCACTGTGTGCCACCGCATGCATGCTCTAGTTCGCTCAAGTCGAACCTCTTCAGGGCACGTCTGGATGAGTTCTCCAGCAGGATTCCTGCGCTGCCCAACCTCGCAGTGCTGTGAGTCCCCTCCTGGCCCTGCAGGGAGGCTCATTGCTGTGCATTGGTCGTTCTACCTCTACTCGGCTTACCGCGGGTCACCGCTCGGTCCACAGCGCCACTTGTTGCGCCAACTTACCCCCACACCGCATCGTGTCTTCCTGCCATATCCCCACTGCCCATGTCCTTCTGAGCCGGCTCAAAGCCGCGACTTTTTTTTCCGGTTTCTATTGTGTGTGTTCTTTCTCAAAGGAACCGAGTGTGTATGGAAGTTTTACTCAGATGCTCTCGTGTGTTATTCATGGCATTTCTTTTTCCCACCCCCCCCCCCCCCCCCCCCCCTCCCCCCCCCCCCCTCCCCCCCGGCATGGCATCGGTTTTGGATGTGCATGTGTCTCCTGCAGCCTACTGGACTTCAACTGGTTCTTTGGCAGTCTGCCCCCTGCAGTCATCGGCATGCCCAAGCTCACACGCCTGTCAGTCCCTCTCCTACCACCACCCCCCTATTGCGCTTCGCTTCCCTGCTTCTTTTTCTTACCTGGTTTCAACCAAACGGGTCATTTATGCATAAAGTCTCAAGCCATTAAAATAGCTCAGCATATCTGCGCCTCTATCAATCCTTTCTCCTCCAACCTTCATCCTCTCTCCCTCCCCTCATTCCCACCCGACTCCCCTCTCATCCTGCTCGCACCAGTGGCCTGTCCTACAACTACCTCACATACCGTGTGCCGCCGGTGTCAGCAGCAATCAAAGACCTCGACGTGGGCTTTAACTTCCTCTCAGGCTCCTTCCCGGCCAACACTGCCACGTCATGCGGCGCCAACAGCAACTGCTTCCAGAGCGCCGCCACGTGCGCCACCAAGGGCACGGCGCAGCGCACGTCCGGGTGCAATTTCTGCCAGGCCAGCACGGGGCAGGGCATGCTGTGCTACGGCCGCGGCGTCTGCACCGTCAACGCCTCCGCGCCCTTTGCTGCCGGCACGCCCAATGCTGTCGGCGCTCCCACGCTGCCCTTTACTTGCGTCAGTAAGTGCCTACTTTTGAGTCATCTCAAAAACCGAAAAAAACGCTTCCGTGTCCTTTGCTGCTGGCACGCCTAATGCTGTCGGTACTGCCACGCTGCCCTTTACTTGCGTCAGTAAATGCGGGGTGCTCAGAGAGACAGGCCGGGGAGGAGGGGGGAGCTGAGATGGTGCTGACGCTGGTGCACCTGAGGCTGGTCCTGTTGTCATGTCAGCACTTCCTTTCCTTCTGTTGCAACGCACTGTCTCCTCCCTCTCACTGTCTCCTTGTGCCCTGCCCACCTGCCCACCTGTGCCTGTGTGTGGGCGTGCAGACATTGTGTGTGGCACCGACTAACGCTGCCATCTCAGTACTGCCTTCGGTTTCTTACTCTCTCTCTCTCTCTCTCTCTCTCTCTCTCTCTCTCTCTCTCTCTCTCTCTCTCTCTCTCTCTCTCTCTCCCTCCCCCTCTCTTCTCTCTCCCTCCTTGTGGCCCACCTGCGCCTGTGTGTGTGTGTGCAGCCACCGTGTGCGGCTCCGCCTCGCCGGTCCTCTGTCCCAACGACTGGCGCTGCGCTGGTCTGCAGTGTATCATGAACTTTGTCAACTGCGTTGGCTACCTCTGCGTCTAGAGTTTTGACGTGCATCAAACTGCGTCGGCTTTTGAGGCGCCTTAAACTGCGCTGGTCTCCAGTGTGTGGTGAACTTTGTCAACTGCGTTGGCTACCTCTGCGTCTAGAGGTGGCCATTCACTCTGCTTGCCTGCCGGACGCCTTGCCTTGCTGCAAGGCTGTCTGCTTTGGTGCAGTGCTAACTGGTCTGACGCAGGGCTAATTGCTTTCCTGCAGCGCTACTAATTGCTTGCAGCAGCGCTAATTGCGTTTGCTGCAGCTCTAATTGCTTTCCTGCAGCGCTGGTTGCTTTGGCTGGTCGTCTCGTCATTGGTTAGCGCTGTGAAGCCTCCTAGTTGGCCTTTGATTCCTGGAATGTCATTTAGCCATTAATGTTGGGTGAACATGTCTGCGGATTAGACAAGGATTTGACAGGACTGCAGCTATACCTGATTTCATATCACTTTGAATTCGGTGACAATATTGTGCTTCCGGTCCTGAAATGTCGGTGCTGAGGGGTGGTATTGTGGGGAATTGACATGCTAAGAGGTGTAGAGTTGTTACCTGTCTAGATGTTGCTGAGGTGCAGTGGCGTGGATTGCTCGAAATACTAAGCCCACGGCAAGAAATATGTACAAAATTCCTGGACATGTTGTAACGAGGATGTGCCCGTGGGTGAAATAGACTTGAAATGAGTTTGTGCTCAGTAGTACATGGTACAGCAAGCAACATGGCACAGCAACCTCTCGCTGAGAAATTATGTCACAACATGTGCACACATCACACATACTCCTGAAATTGCTTCAGCAAAACCCTGCTACAGGGTTGTACCTCCTTTGAGCTATAGGAGGAGTTAAGGTCCCACTTCCACATTCCCTCCTCCCTCCTCCCCTCTCTCCTCCCCTCTCCCGTCCCCTCTCTCGTCCCCTCGTCCCTTCTCTCTCCTCTCCCCCACCACCCGAAGCAGTTGCATCTCCCTCTTCAACTCCCTCAGCATCTCCCCAAACCCTTCCCGCTCCCTCCGAGCTTCCTCCCGAGCCTCTCGTGCCTCACGCCGAGCCTCCTCAACCTCCTGTCGTGCCTGCTCCCAGGCCTCCCGCCGAGCCTCCTTCCGAGCAGCATCCACCTCTCGCCGCACCTGCTCCGTCCAAACCTCACGACCCGCCTTCTCATGACCTTGGTTCGGTAACCGATCCATAATCCCACGTTCGAGCTCGTCAAACCTCTGAGTCAGGTCTGTTTGGAGGGCTCCCATTCGCTCTTGCAATGCCAGCATGTCTCGCTTTTGCCGAGACATGGCCACAGCTGAGCTTGCACGGGCCATGAGGTCGGAACGGGACAGGTTCTCTCCTGTCTCCGAGAGAAGGACTTTGACGAGTGCAGGGAGGTCGATGGATTCCAGGTGGTGGGTGTAGCGAGGAGGGACAGAGCGCAGCTGTTGGGTGGGGTGGGGTGGGGTTGTGTGGGGTTGAGAGATGTGAAGAGAGTTGTGGGTCTAACAGGCTCTTTCTTGCCCCTGAGCGAGAGATCTTGACGAGTGCTGGCGGGTCGATGGATTCTAGGTGGTGGGTGTAGCGGGGAGGGACCGAGCGCAGCTGTTGGGTTGGGTGGGGCGCAGAGGGGTACGTGCAGAGGGTTGAGCAGAGGGGGATAAGGGTCTCACCCCATCATTGACCATCCTGGCTCCTGGTAAAGTGTGTGTGTGTGTGTGTGTGTGTGTGTGTGTGTGTGTGTGTGTGTGTGTGTGTGTGTGTGTGTGTGTGTGTGTGTGTGTGTGTGTGTGTGAGTGAGTGAGTGAGTGAGTGAGAGAGTGAGTGTGTGTGTGTGAGTGAGTGAGTGAGTGAGTGAGAGAGTGAGTGTGTGTGTGTGAGTGAGTGAGTGAGTGAGTGAGTGAGTGAGAGAGTGAGTGTGTGTGTGTGAGTGAGTGAGTGTGTGTGTGCGCGTGATTTTTTTATAATGTTTTGTACATTTCCTGACGAAGGAACTACTGTAATGCGTTCGACAATCCACAACCCACCGTCCCGCACCATCCCACCAACACACCTTTCTGGCTAGCGCGCGTTGCAGAATAGCAGAGAGCGAGAGGGCGTTGAGGTGCCTGCCCCCGACAGCCACCACCCGCTGCCGCTCCTCCAGTGAGTCCTCCCGCCAGAAGCTTACTCGCCTTCGGAGCGACCACACCATCGCACTCCCCCCTCTGGAGTGCGGCACCTCATCCCTGCTCCGCACCCCCGCACTCCCCCTTCTGCTGCCACTGCTGCTGCTTGTCCCCAACGTGCTGCTATTGCTGCCGCCGCTGCTATTGCTGCTGCTGCCCACTTCCATGGTGCTGCTGCCCGCTTCCATGGTGCTGCTGCCCGCTTCCATGGTGCTGCTGCCCGCTTCCATGGTGCTGCTGCCCGCTTCCATGGTGCTGCTACCCGCTTCCATGGTGCTGCTGCCGCTGCCGCTGCTTCCTTTGCTGCTCTCCGTACCTTCAGCAGCAGATCTGGCAGCAGACACTCCCGAGAACTTACTCCCACCATCTCTCACTACCTCCGTGCCACTCCTAAGACCCTCACCCCCCTCGTCTCTCTCACTCACGCCTGGTTGAATTCTCTCTGCTTCTGCCATCCCCTCGTCTTGCATTCTGATCCGACCTTTAGCCCCTCCCCCTTCCAGCCGTTGAGGCGCCTCAGAGATTGTGTCCATTCTGGAAGCTTCAGCTCCTGCCCCTTGCAGCCTATGAGGCGCGCCAGAAGCTGCATCCACCATCCCTCCCAATCCCAACATCCCCCGCCCTTGCACCCTCATCATGACCGCTTTACCATCAATCATCCCCTGCCGCTGCACCCTTACCAGAGCTTCTCTCTCTTCCGTCCCCAACTTCCCCTCCTCCGCAACTTCTGCTCCCCCTCGTCGCCCATCCTCCAACCCACCTCTCCTTGACCCACTATCATCCACACCATCCTCCACTACTAATTCCTTCATGCCCTCCCTGCTGCCCATACTGCCATTCTTGCTGCCCCTATCACTTGCCCTACTGTCACTGCCGCCGCTGCTGTTGCCATTGCCCCCACCACTGCTCACATGCTTGCTGCCCCCTTCCCTTGCCGGGCTGTGCCGAAGGCTCCTAGCAAGGCTCTGCTGTGCCGATTGCCACAGGCTTTTCTGAAAAGATGAAGCCAATAGAAAAAAGGGACAGAGCATGGAGTTAGGGGATTCATCCGGAGGTAATGACAGTACAGGAGTTGGGGCCGCCTTCCCTTGCCCTGCGGTGGCAACGTCTCCTCGCAAGGCTCTGCTGTGTCGACTGTCACAGGCTCTTCTGAAGAAAGGAAGGAAAACAAAGGCGGATTATGTGGGCACTGCAGAGAACCCATTGCCAAATCGAGAGAGCACTGCACATGCCTCACTCACTCTCCTGCCCGCTGCCCTCACTCACACCCACCTCCATGACCCATGACCGTCTGGGCAGTGTCGACTGCTCCCAGGCGAATCAGTTGATTCACAAGAGGCGACTCACTGAACAAAAGAAAGCACATGCCAGGTGCCCTCACTCACACCCACCTCCACGACCGTGTGAGCAGTGTCCACTGCTCCTAAGCGATTGAGGTTGGCACAAAAGGAGAGAGAGCCGATCGCCTCTTTAAGTATGTCTCACACACGCCTATACGCCCTCCTGCCAGCTCATCTCCCTCACCCTTTTCCCCTCTGCCAACTGCCCTCGTTCACACTCACCTCCATGACCGTATGGGCCGTGTCCACTGCTCCCAGGCGAATGAGGTGCCGCAGCAGGCGGCTGTACTCGCTATAAGGCGTTGCAACACGGCGGAAGAAGCGCAGCACGATGAGGTACATGTCCTCGTATATTGCCGATGCACTCTCTGCTGCGTCCTGACAAAACGAGCAAGTGGGCATGGGAGGGAGGGAGAGAGGGAGGGAAAGAGGGAGGAAGGGAAGGAGAGAGGGAGAGAGGGACGGGGAGGAACCGCAAAACGATGAGGTACATGTCCTCGTATATCGCTGATGCACTCTCTGCTGCATCCTGCCGAAACGAGCAAGTGGGAAGCGGGCGAGAAGGAGGGAGGGAGGGAAGGTGAAGATAGTACAGGCAGCGTGACAACATTGAGGAGCACTCCAATGCTTGCGTTGACTGGCATTGACCACAATTGACTTGTGCTGACTAACGTTTGACTACCATTGACTGGCGTTGACTGGCATTGACCACAATTGACTTGTGCTGACTAACGTTTGACTACCATTGACTGGCGTTGACTGGCATTGACTGGCGTTGACTGGCGCTGACTCACTCACCTTCACATCCATGAACGCATCAACAATGATGGCGATGAGGAAGTTGAAGAGCACAAAGAAGAAGATGATGACGAAGGAGAACCAGAAGATCATCGCCGCGACGTATTGCCAGCTCTCCATGTGCTGAAAAAAGTACTGCACACTGTTGTCGTTGAGGATAATGAGGAAGCAGGTTTGCATGGCACCCCACAGGGTGCTGAACTGTTATAGAGAGAGGGGGAGAGGGTGGAGGAGGGAGGGAAAGAGAGGTAGGAGTGATACATCTGCATGTGATGGTGTGGGACGGACGTACTGCCAGCTCTCCATGTGCTGAAAGAAACTCTGCACGCAGGTCTGCATGGCTCCCCACAGGGTGCTGAACAGGAAGAGAGGGGTGGAGCGAGGGGGGGAGGGCATGATACATGGAAGAAACCTGCACACTGTTGGGAACCCGGGAAACCGGGAAACCGGGATATCGGAAAACCGGGATACCGGGAAACCGGGATACCGGGAAACCGGGAAACCAGGATACCGGGAAACCGGGAAACCGGGATACAGGGATACCGGGAAACCGGGAAACCGGGATACCGGGATACGGGGATACCGGGATACCGGGATACTGGGATACCGAGATACCAGGATACGGGGAAACCTGGATACCGGGATACCGGGATACCAGGATACGGGGAAACCGGGATACCGTGATACCGGGAAACCCGGAAACCGGGATACCGGGAAACCGGGAAACCGGGATACCGGAAAACCGGGAAACCGGGAAACCGGGATACCAGGAAACCAGGATTCCGGGATACTGGGATACCGGGATACCGGGATACCGGGATAACGGGATACCGTGAAACCGGGATACCGTGATACCGGGATACCAGGACACCGGGAAACCGGGAAACCGGGAAACCGGGAAACCGGGATACCGGGATACCGGGATACCGGGATACCGGGATACCGGGATACCGGGACACCGTGAAACCGGGATACCGTGATACCCGGAAACCGGGATACCGGGATACCGGGATACCGGGAAACCGGGATACAGGGATACCGGGAAACCGGGAAACGGGGATACCGGGAAACCGGGAAACCGGGATACCGGGATACCGGGATACCGGGAAACCGGGAAACCGGGATACCGGGATACCCGGAAACCGGGATACCGGGAAACCGGGAAACCGGGATACCGGGAAACCGGGATACCGGGAAACCGGGAAACCGGGGTACTGGGAAACCGGGAAACCGGGAAACCGGGATACCGGGATACCGGGATACCGTGATACCGGGATATCGGGATACCGGGATACCGGGAAACCGGGATACCGGGAAACCGGGATACCGGGATACCGCGATGCCAGGATGCCGGGATACCGGGAAAACGGGAAAACCGGGAAACCGGGAAACCGGGAAACCGGGAAACCGGGCTACCGGGATACCGGGATACCGGGATACCGGGATACCGGGATACCGTGATACCGGGATACCGGGATACCGTGATACCGGGAAACCGGGATACCGGGAAACCGGGAAACCGGAATACCGGGAAACCGAGAAACCGGGATACCGGGACACCGGGAAACCGGGAAACCGGGAAACCGGGAAACCGGGAAACCGGGATACAGGGATACCGCGATACCGGGATACCGGGATACCGGGATACCGGGATACCGTGATACCGGGATACCGTGATACAGGGAAACCAGGATACCGGGATACCGGGAAACCGGGATTCCGAGATACCGGGAAACCGGGAAACCGGGATACCGGGAAACCGGGATACCGGGATACCGGGAAACCGGGAAACCGGGAAACCGGGAAACCAGGATACCGGGATACCGGGATACCGGGATAGCGGAAACCGGGAAAGCGGGAAACCGGGATACCGGGAAACCGGGATACCGGGATACCGGGATACCGAAAACCGGGATACCGGGAAACCGGGAAACCGGGATACCGGGATACGGGAAAACCAGGATACCGGGATACCGGGATATCGTGAAACCGGGATACCAGGATACCGGGAAACCGGGATGCCTGGAAATCGGGATAGGATACCGGGAAACAGGGATACCGGGATATCGGGAAACCGGGAAACCGGGAAACCGGGAATCCGGGAAACCGGGAAATCGGGAAACCGGGAAACCGGGATACCAGGAAACCGGGAAACCGGGATACAGGGAGACCGGGATACCGGGATACCGGGATACCGGGATACCGTGATACCGGGATACCGGGAAACCGGGAAACCGGGAGACCGGGATACCGGGATACCGGGATACCGGGATACCGGGAAACCGGGAAACTGGGAAACCGGGAAACCGGGAAACCGGGAAACCGGGAAGCCCGGATACCGGGATACCGGGAAACCGGGATACCGGGATACCGGGATACCGGGAAACCGGGATACAGGGATACCGGGAAACCGGGAAACCGGGATACCGGGAAACCGGGAAACCGGGATACCGGGATACCGGGAAACCGGGAAACCGGGAAACCGGGAAAACGGGATACCGGGATACCTGGAAACCGGGATACCGGGATACCGGGAAACCGGGAAACCGGGATACCGGGAAAACGGGATACCGGGATACCGTGATACCGGGATACCGTGATACAGGGAAACCAGGATACCGGGATACCGGGAAACCGGGATTCCGAGATACCGGGAAACCGGGAAACCGGGAAACCGGGATACCGGGAAACCGGGATACCGGGATACCGGGAAACCGGGAAACCGGGAAACCGGGAAACCGGGATACCGGGATACCGGGATACCGGGATAGCGGAAACCGGGAAAGCGGGAAACCGGGATACCGGGAAACCGGGATACCGGGATACCGGGATACCGAAAACCGGGATACCGGGAAACCGGGAAACCGGGATACCGGGATACGGGAAAACCAGGATACCGGGATACCGGGATATCGGGAAACCGGGATACCAGGATACCGGGAAACCGGGATGCCTGGAAATCGGGATAGGATACCGGGAAACAGGGATACCGGGATATCGGGAAACCGGGAAACCGGGAAACCGGGAAACCGGGAATCCGGGAAACCGGGAAATCGAGAAACCGGGAAACCGGGATACCAGGAAACCGGGAAACCGGGATACCGGGACACCGGGATACCAGGATACCGGGATACCGGGATACCGGGAAACCGGGAAACCGGGAGACCGGGATACCGGGATACCGGGAGACCGGGATACCGGGAAACCGGGAAACTGGGAAACCGGGAAACCGGGAAACCGGGAAACCGGGAAGCCCGGATACCGGGATACCGGGATACCGGGATACCTGGATACCGGGATACCGGGATACCGGGAAACCGGGATACCGGGAAACCGGGATACCGGGAAACCGGGATACCGGGAAACCGGGAAACCGGGAAACCGGGATGCGGGGATACCGGGATACCGGGATACCGGGAAACCAGGAAACCGGGAAGCCGGGATACCGGGATACCGGGAAACCAGGAAACCGGTAAACCGAGATACCGGGCTACGGGGATACCGGGATACCGGGATAACGTGATACCGGGATACCGGGATACCGTGATACCGGGAAACAAGGATACCGGGATACCGGGAAACCGGGATACCGGGATACCGGGAAACCGGGAAACCGGGATACCGGGAAACCGGGATACCAGGACACCGGGAAACCGGGAAACCGGGAAACCGGGAAACCGGGAAACCGGGATAGCAGAAACCTAAGTCTGACAACCGGGATACCGGAATACCAGGATACCGGGAAACCGGGAACCGGGAGACCGGGAAACGGGGATACCGGGATACCGGGATACCGGGATACCGGGATACCGGGAAACCGGGAAACCGGGAAACCGGGATACCGGGAAACCGGGATACCGGGAAACCGGGATACCGTGAAACCGGGATACCGGGATACCGGGATACCGGGATACTGGGATACCCGGATACCGGGATTCCCAAGGATACCGGGATACCGGGAAACCGCGATGCCGGGATACCGGGATACCGGGAAAATTGGGAAACCGGGAAACCGGGAAAACTGGGAAACCGGGAAACCGGGAAACCAGGAAAGCGGGAAACCGGGAAAAAGGGAATCCGGGAAACCGGGAATCCGGGAAACCGGGAAACCGCGAAACCGGGAAACCGGGATACCGGGATACCGGGAAACCGGGATACCGTGATACCGGGAAACCGGGAAGCCGGGATACCGGGATACCGGGAAACCGGGATACCGGGATACCGGGAAACCGGGAAACCGGGAAACCAGGATACCGAGAAACTGGGAAACCGGAATACCAGGATAGCGGGATACCGGGATACCGGGATACCGGGATACCGTGATACCGGGAAACTGGGAAACCGGGAAACCGGGAAAGCGGGATACCGGGAAACCGGGAAACCGGTATACTGGGATACCGGGATACCGGGATACCGGGATACCGGGATACCGTGATACCGTGATACCGGGATACCGGGATACCGGGATACCGGGATATCGGGAAACCGGAATACCAGGATACCGGTAAACCGGGAAACCGCGATGCCGGGATGCCGGGATGGCGGGATACCAGGAAAACAGGAAAACCGGGAAACCGGGAAACCGGGAAACCGGGATACCGGGATACCGGGATACTGGGATACCCGGATACCGGGATTCCCAAGGATACCGGGATATCGGGATACCGGGAAACCGGGATACCGGGATACCGGGAAACCGGGAAACCGGGATACCGGGACACCAGGACACCGGGAAACCGGGAAACCGGGAAACCGGGAAACCTGGATACCGGGATACCGGGATACCGGGATACCGGGATACAAGGATACCGGGATACCGGGATACCGTGATACCTGGATACCGTGATACCCGGAAACCGGGATACCGGGATACCGGGATACCGGGAAACCGGGATACAGGGATACCGGGAAACCGGGATACCGGGAAACCGGGAAACCGGGATACCGGGATACTGGGAAACCGGGAAACCGGGAAACCGGGAAAACGGGATACCGGGATACCTGGAAACCGGGATACCGGGATACCGGGAATCCGGGAAACCGGGATACCGGGAAACGGGGATACCGGGAAACCGGGAAACCGGGGTACCGGGAAACCGGGAAACCGGGAAACCGGGATACCGGGATACCGGGATACCGAGATACCGGGTAACAGGATACCGGGATACCGGGATACCGGGAAACCGGGATACCGGGATACC